GACGTAGGCGGACCGGTCCATTGACTTTTACTATTTGCTGAACTGCAAATAAAACGTATTGGCGCCAATTATCTTTTGTTGCAGCATGTGAAACCTAATCTATTGTTTGCGGCAGGATTAGTTGTGTTTTGTTTAGCAAGGACCTTACGATGCAGCGAACTAAAGGTCATGCTAGCTCGCTTCCTGATCTGATATAGGTGATTTGTGGGAAGGACTCGAGGTTCTGTTTACATGGTACAGGTAGGTACAATGTTAACAATTTAATTCTGATGTTTCCCTATTCGTTCGTCGTTCGTTTCAGCCAAATGACGTCCACTGTTTCCCTATTATTTCCTTAATAATATTGAAAAACAAGAATATTATATTCATTATTTATACCTAGTATAGATTAGCACGTCTTTGGTTCTTAACTTAACTGCACTGCTTTAGTACGAGTAGAAGATAAAATTAGATGATTAGTCAAATCTGAGGTGGAATTGTGTAAAGCAATCGTTATCATTTGACAGTTCATAACGTACGATAAAGACAGTTAAACAAAGCGTTTGAAAGAATAATCGTACGTTATGAACTGTCAAATGATAACGATTGCTTTACACAATTCCACCTCTGATGATTTTGAAAATCTTAATGAAAGCAATTATATTAGTAGGGTATCGTAGGTATGTCGCAAAACAATCAGGGACATCATCGATTGTGTATGACCCGACCTATTAACCTTTAACCGACGACGTGCGGTCTCACAGACCGCTCCGGTTTTTGAAATTTCTGGATTGCCATGTTCTACTTATTCCCGTGTCCCGAGCGTCTCAGTACCTTCGAGTTTAGTTACCCATACGCCATTACAGGTAGTGGTTACATCGATGAGGGCAGTTTTAATAAGCTAATTCGATTCAAAGTTCAACAGCGGTCTGTGGGACCGCACGTCGCAGACTACGTAACATTTTTGCACCATACTAAAACTTTCGTTTTTGTTTTAGACGACTGATTTTTTGAAAAAATGATGGATCCTGGGCCATCACAACCTAGAGAAAGACATTTCCTAATGATATATTGATATTAGGACATAATGTTATGTAAAATATGGTAGTCTGTAAAAAAATACCGCGGAACGGGTGGTAAAGCAAACAGTGACATGATTCTTGGCTCTGACATGCCAAATCAACCTGATGTGATTGCACCAGCTGCAAAAAAGACGTACATTTTAGTCCACCTAAATTGAAAACGAAATTATCTTACAGGTGTTACCTATGCATACCGAAAATGCTTGGCATGCGTTAAAAAAATATGTCCCGATTGTGCCTAATGTTTAACCTTCGTCAAAATTTTTTTGTGCATGTAATGTACGTGTCATTTATTTTTATTTTATTCATTATGTTCACTATATTTAGGAAGTAGTATAGTTTTTCTTGATTTGGTTAAAATTTAAAAGTTTTGAAGGTGTTATTGAGCTCTAGTGTAATTTTAATGTAATTAAGGGTCAAAAAAGTTTTAGCCATATTTAAATAAATAATATGCATTAATTGCTCACAAATTATATGTATGTTTATTTGTAATACTATAATGTTCTCAAAAAATATAAAACCAATATACTTTTATACAAAAAATGATTATTTTTTGAATAAACAGTATAGCGGTCCCACAGACCGCACGTCGCAGACGAAATACAGTAGACACTACTAGATAGTAAATATATCAGACTATACATTTTCTTTGCAAAAATCATTCTTATTACAACCACATAAGCCACAGTGTGTGCCAGCTTGATCCTCTGTACAATATAGATCCCCGCCCACCCTATAAACATCGGCCCAAGATGCCCAGCACATAGCAATATTATGAATATTTTAGTGCACACCATATTTTATGAGAAACACCCCGCATAGCAGTTTTATTTGGTATTCTATAGCTTATCGTGATTACGTTCCTTTGAACACGAAAGCATGAGTATAATAACCACTTTATCGAAGTTGAGATCTTATAAATGTGTGTAACAACCATTGTTACATTTATAATACGATTTTGTTCTTACGAAATTTCAACCAAAAAGCCGGTTGAAAACATAGGTTTAAATCAAATAGTAAAATGTCCGCATAGCAACTACCAAATTGCTATTTCAATGTCTTGACTAATTCTTTACAATTCGGAAGGAAGAAAATTGTTTTTCGACAGCTTCCAAGGTAAGCACTGCCAGGCACTGCCTTTGAAATTAGTTTGGCATGTTTAATACCTTTATTTAAGGGTATTGTTTTCAATTATTTCAATTAAGTAGAACAAATTGGACACGCTGTTATTGTTATTACCTAGCCTATTTTAAAAATATTTTTGACAAATAGACCTAGCTTATTAAATGCGTGCCTAACCATGAAGGTTACAATAAAACAACTGTAACAATTTGTACAATTAACAAGTAATTTAGATATGAATTGAATACCTAGTATTGCTGGACAAAATCGATACTTAGGTAGGTACTCCTTCCAACGTTCCAACCTACTTCAAATAATGGAGGACGTCTACAATAAGTAAAATGAATTTTACTCCAGAACGATTTATCATGAATCGTAAATGAAAAATACATTTTTCATTTACGATTCATGATAAATTTTTTTATATCAGAATTCTAAATTGATTTAAAAGAAACTAGGCTCTGGATTTATATAAAACTAGGGGCCGCCCGCGACTTCGTACGCGTGGATCCCGTTTTACCCCCTTCATCTATCTTACGCGGTTTAGATTTTTTCATACAAATGTTTTTTCCCGCTAACTCCCGTTCCCGTGAGAATTTTGCAATATCCTGTTGTAACTAAGCTTTAAGTTTACTAAGGGACCTGCATGCCAAATTACAAGCGTCTAACTTAAGCGGTTTAGATTTTTCATACAAAAGGATTTTCCCGGTAATTCCTGTTCCTGTGGGAATTTCGGGAAATCCTTTCTTAGTGCACCTCTACGGTACTTAAGCTACGTCCCTTATAAATTTCAAGTGCCTACGTTTAGCCGTTTAGGCTGTGCGTGGGTATGTCAGTGAGTCAGTCATACAAAAGGAATTTCCCGCTAATTCCAGTTCCCGTGGGAATTTTGCAATATCCTATTGTAACTAAGCTTCAAGTTTACTAAGGTACCTGCATGCCAAATTTTAAGCGTCTAACTTACGTGGTTTAGATTTTTTCATACAAATGTTTTTTCCCGCTAACTCCCGTTCCCGTGAGAATTTTGCAATATCCTGTTGTAACTAAGCTTTAAATTTACTAACGTACCTGCATGCTAAATTTCAAGCGTCTATCTTACGTGGCTTAGATTTTTTCATACAAATGTTTTTTCTCGCTAATTCCCGTTCCCGTAGGAATTTTGCAATATCCTGTTATAACTAAGCTTTAAGTTTACTAAGGTACCTGCTTGCCAAATTTCAAGCGTCTAACTTAAGCGGTTTAGATTTTTCATACAAAAGGATTTTCCCGCTAATGCCCGTTCCCGTGGGAATTCCTAAGTATCCTATAACCTGCCCAAGAGTATGAAGAATAATTGTACCAAGTTTCGTTAAAATCCGTCGAGTAGTTTTTGTTTATATAAGGAACATACAGACAGACAGACAGACAAACATTTTACTGATTGCATTTTTGGCATCAGTATCGATCACTAATCACCCCCTGATAGTTATTTTGAAAATATATTTCATGTACAGAATTGACCTCTCTACAGATTTATTATAAGTATAGATTAAATGGCTGACTACCAAATTGTGTTTAGTTAACAGACGCCCGACATTAATAAACTTTGAATTGTCTAGTTTATAAAAAGAAATAAACTAAAAACGCCGCTGAAAATGTAACCCACTTTCAACGTAACTCACTCGTTCAATTAGAAAAAACTTTTTCCAATAAGTTATTAATAATAACCGCAGTATTTATTTTTTCCTGTTAATCGTTTTTGCGATTACCGAGAAAAATGTGGTTCACTGGTTTTTCATATTTGTTAGTACTTCACGCTAGCACGCACTTGATTTGACAAGAGATGTATGCCCTATTTATCTTATAGATAACAAATACATGCACTATCTTTGTTTTATTAATAATCTTTATGTAATTTAATATTGTGTAATCGTACGCTTATCTCAGGCATCATGGTTGCATGCCATTATGCATGGTGAGCACGAAATCTATTGATTTAAATTGTCACGATTAAGATTACGTTTGAACAATAACAACGATAATTGGTTTACGTATTGTTTGTAAAGTAAATTACTTAACGAAAGTCATAATAGAAACTCTCTTATACAGGGTGTACGGAAATACATTGTTTAAAGTTTAATTATTATTTTCCTAATAAGAGAAAGAAGAATTAAGTATAAGAGAAATTAAAAAAGTACAGAACTTTTTTCAGGCCTTTTATGGTCTACCTACTCGTATTATTTACATACAAAAAAATAATAATTAGCATTCAATCATACATAGGACGAGTAAAAAACCCAACCTGTTTCTTACAAGCAATGTGTAAGACGATCAAAACATTAACATTACCGCCTACGTACAGTTTTATAAAAATATCTAACACAATATCACGTAGGAAGACCAACGCTTTTAGTTACGTGCATTGTGAAATGTCGAAGACAAATTGCGGTAATTATACATGTCATAAAAATTAACGCAAAGATAAAACGAGGCAAGACACGATTAGTACTTCCTTTATTACAGTCACGAGTGGCAACAGCTACTTCATGTTATTAAACTATTGTTAATTACGTTCGAACAACAAACTGTCAGTTTGATTAATCCAATAAAACGGTCTAATATTTTGTAATTGGTGGCGAATGGCCAGTGGCTCATGGTTGTCACCTAACGAATGAAGATGTCAATAACTGGACGAACTGTTAATATAGACAGAGTGGCCCGAATGTGTTTTATAGAGGGCCAATAAAATTGTACCTACAGTAAGTATTTTAATTATGAAATAAGTCCAAAAAATATTTTAGACACATGAAAAAATCCTTAGTTAAAACTAGAACGTACCAGTCATAGAGTTGAAGAATTAGGACCATTATTTCGAAGCCAACTTACCTGAAAGAAAAAAAAGAAAAGTTAGAAAAACATTTATCATGGTAAAAATCTAGGTTGTCCCACACTCAGAGTTGTTCCACGAGAGCAAGTATGCAAATGCTTAAAGTGTGATGGTATAATAACTCACTGAATAGAAAGCTAGCCTTGCATAATTCGATAGTAATGTCAAACGTGTTAATTCGATGCATTCGGGATTGATAAAGTCAGAAAGATGGTAGACGATCGCCCGCGCATGTCATTATGTCATAATCATTCGATTAGTTGCGCAACTAATTATGTGGTTTGCTAGCCATTACACAACCATAGGAGAGATTTGCAATATCAATTAGTCAAAACAGTAGCTATAGGCATGTCATAAATTGCGCTCTGCGCCGGAGCTAGTATTGCGTGACTTCATGTAGGTGCTAATTAAGATTTAATTGAAAAAAGGACTTTCCTTTTTATAGCTACTGCATATTATTAGATTTTATTAGCGGATATGTATAATTACGGGGCATAATTTCTAACTCCTTTAGCTGTAATATTTCTAACGAGTTTTTTAAGTAATAAAATTGTGAGAAAAACTTTATGATGACCATTTCATAACACTGAAACTCACCTCAAGTTTTAAGTAAGAAAACCTCGTTAAGTCAAAACTAGTCCTTAATGGCACTTAATGTCCGTAATTAACATACGGCCTCAGAATGACGACTGAAATGGAGACTGCCGCTCATGTCCTTCTCGCTAACTACTCGCCTGAAGGACACTCTCCTTTATGTTCCACTTGCTCACCTCGGGAACACTACACGTAGACATACCAACCTAGTCCCAAATGTCATAGGCACAAAGATGACATTTCCCTGAGGGAGCTCATGACGCAAGCACAACCACTGTGCCTCACCGAAGCATGAACCATGAAAAGGCTCGCCAAAGAGCTACCGTGAACCGGCCAAGTACTAATTAATGTTAATGCGAATTATAAAACCCACAGGCTGCCTGCACTTTAAGTTTATATTATTCTGAGTACGTAATCACGTAATTCAGAATTACGAATAGCTTTAAAAATATTCTTTTGTTTTTTTCAATGGAGGTCATAAAATTTATTTATGCGGGTTCCCAACTCATTACCACGTTTTAAGTTACTATTTTTATTTAGTTTCAAAATAGAGATTTCCTAGATTTTATGGGTAGAATTCTTTAGATGATATTTAAGACTACGAGTATGCTTACCAACTAACATTTTTTCTTTGTAAAAACCTAAAAAAGTTGCATCGTGAGGTTGCGGTTAAATGCCATTCTACGTCGATAAAAAAAATACAAAAGATTTAAAATAAAATACCAGACTGGTTCGATAAACATCGTGATTACATCAACAACTTTGTTCGTTGGTTATATCGGTTTCGCTGCTTTGTTAGTATGTAATTGTAAATGCATTAGCAATTAGGGGTTTATGCGGGTGGCGTAATGAATGGGGCGTATTGATGCGCACGCGTCGCCCCGCTCGTGACGGGTTCATTAAACCACGTTTATGTTGGGCCCAGATGTTTATACAAATAATGTGCCAGACATAAACGACACTAAACTTAATGCAATTAATGCTACATTTGTTTATTCTGCTGCTGGTAACAGTCATCACATGTGAAGACTTCTAGAAGAAGGTATTCGTTTGACTCATGTCATCAACTGGTTAAGTCAGCTAGACATTTGAAAAGCTAGTCAAATACCTAGAACATACTTAGCCCAATTGGTGAGTACTACTTCATCGAGCTACGAGACGACTGAAAGGTTTACGTAGTCAATTGAAAACTGACATTTAATATCCACTAACTTGATTGAATCATAGCTGTGCCATATACATTTCATAGTATTAAACAGTCACGGCTTCTTCCAATTAAGCAGTAAATATCCGTGACCTAGTTATACCAACGAGCAGTTTTCTATCAGTAATTATACAAGATGAAAAATTTCAGCTGATGTCGCAAAGACGTAAACATCAACTGATAAACCGTGCTATTAAGCAATATGTTCTAGATCCATTTCAAAGTGTACGCGAGGCCGATAGCTGGATACATTACAAGGAGTTCCTTCCATTGTATCTAAAAAGCCAGACTCAGTCCCTCTTCCAGCCAGCTCTCGGCACAATACTGGCATTTGCTAATGATCGACAGCTCAGCCTTTGTTCGGCCCACACCGAGGCACTTTTTGACAATGAAACCACACTCGTATTGAGCAACGTAGCCGGGCGAAGTATACAATTTATAATGTCGTAAGTCGTAACGCCCTATCAGGCGGTCCCTGCACCGAGTAATTTATTTGTCATTTCGAGGATGAAAATTAAATTCGAAAATGTATTATTTATAAATGCTGCCCAAAATGTTAACTTAGCGTAATAACATTCAAGTTAGGATGAATGTTTGTTACTCCTTAAACTACTGAACGAATTTTGATGAAACTTTAAAGCGCCTTTAAATTACACAGTAATATACTGATGTGAAAGCATCCTAGCAGTTTGTTATTGTAATATTACGGATGACTAGATTTAAATGAGATTAAGGTTTTAGAACTTCAAGTAAACAGAGTCTCCAATAAAAACCGAACAAACAGAGAACCAATTCACAGACTTGTTTACGATTGTGAGCGAAAAGCAAAGAGGGGCGGCGTGTTTTGGCATAACGGCGCTGTCTATGCCCTCGGCTAATATTGACTAAGGAGGAAAAATTGGGCACACAAGATGAGCGCTTTCGCGAATGTCGCAGTTTCATGTGATCGTAGAAACTTTCGACTGTGGGTGTAGCCATTGTGTAAGCGAAAGGCGAATAAAACAAAAGACATACGGAACAGACCGCCGAAGCGATTGCTCGCGACAGATGAATGTGGTCAATTCTTCATGTCGACTTAGCCTCCGTTGACTTTAAAGTTTGTACAATGGTGCAGTTTGAGACGATAAGTAATTATGCAGACAAAAAGGTGCAGAAAACACCCACCACTAATTGCAGGGGTGTACGCTCATAAAGCACGGATATTTTCGAGAAAAGCTGACGTTAAACGCCATTTATACCCGGCTATATTTGTTACGGGAGTCGCAGACGCCGCGAAATCCGTAAACCTGGTATTTATGGGCGAAACAACATAAACAATTTTTGCACGGTTACTCAGCAGAACAATTTAGTTGTTTTTTGACGGTGGTGATAGAATATCTCTAAAATCTGGTTTGCTCTGCCAAATTTTTTTTAGCAAGAGTGACGATGGAAAAAGCTTAAATAAATAGTTAATTAGTCTTTCTTAACATACTTTACAATTACTTAGTTAGTTGTAATTTTATGATCCGTTTAAAAGGACAGCTTTTGCTAATCTGTAGTGATAAGAAATTGATTTCGTATTGCGTCTGTGACCGGATTTAATAAAGTTTTATTGAAATGATTATAGTATTAACATAAATAAATATTAATTGACATACACTTCTTCGTCTGGTCGCGGTGTCACGCGTTTGATCCAAAAAGGCAAATGTAGCATAACATATGAATAGAAACCGCTTTCCCTGCCTGTGATTGAGGGCATGGCGCCTAACATTTACATAGTTGGACAAATAATACTGTTTTTTTTTCAGTAAGGTAGGTTTCTTTTTAATCGTTTTTTAATATTTTTTTATAATGAGGAAATACTGTTTTAAATAACCGTAAACGTGAAAGCATAAAAAACATAAAATTACTAATTATTGTTTGTTAGTATAAGTACCTAGTGAAGATAAGTAACGTAAAGTATAAACTAAAAAATAAAACTGCAATTAATTGATTGAAAACAACGCATCAAACGATTTTCCAGTTAACTCTTAAATATACCACGTTCGCTCTAACGTTTCAAGTTTCTTGTGAACTGTAACGTGTATGAGTGATTTTATAACATTAGTGTCACTAGAAAGCAGTAGATAACTTTTTATCTTCGCATCGCTCCGATAGTTCTTTGAAAGGTGGAACCATACTAAGTTATCACCTGTCTCCCCTTATACAACCATGCGAGATGCCTAGCTCTCTCCATGTAATAGGCAGGTACCGAGAAAGGTACAACACCGAACGATGTATTTTAAACACTATCCCAATGATTTAAGAACTAAGTTAAAGATTTTTTCTGCCGGAGACTGTAAGTGAGTGGTACACGTCAATCTTGGACTAATTGATCTTTACTTAATGTGTTAAACAGAACAGCGCAACGTATGAATCGCAGGCAATTATCATTCCTTTAATTAATTTATGGAATAACAACGTATCTTTGAGACGTTTTCCTTCTAAATATTCTAGAATGCATTTGACTTTGAAAGTTTAGGTTTTAGATTTGGTTGATGACTTTTGCAATGGCTCAGTAATTAAACACCTAGTTCTGAAACAATCAGTAGCAACCTTCAAAATGGCATGCAATTGTTCCAGTAGCGATTGCTAACCAATACTGCAATTGACACTAAAAATGACCTTTATGACAGAGCTCTTTGTTGTTCTCTAACGGTTATTAATACCGAGTCTCTCAACCTTGGCACTCGTTGATGCTCTAATAATACAGCGTGCATGGAGGCAGGCAGCCAAGTGGTTTCAAGAATCATTTTACAATCACTATAAAAATATTTTGAACCAACAAACAATAGTATCTATTTAGGTAGGTACTCATATTATGAAACAATACTGCGTAAGAAAATCCATAGTAGCCCTTTGAACCTATGAAACAATGTATTCCACCTGTTTGACTTTCATTTGTACTTGTAATACAGGTAGAGTGCGCAATCGTAGAGTGACATCTATGACAAGAAAGACCCTTCAGTGGAAAGTCAGAATTACATAAACTTGAGAAACATCGACCTTAAATAATGTGCAAATATTTTGCAATAGTCGGAAGTTTGGCTAAATACATATCGTCAGTGGAAAGGAAAAAGGACTAAAGCGCCATTTTGGCTAAAATGAGTTATATACATTGTTGGATAGGATTTTTTTTTCTGCGTCGATCTATCTAGGTTTCAACTCAATCCGATGACTTTTTTGGCGCTTTAGCACTCTGAAAATTTTAAGTATTTCTAAAATCACCGCCCTCGTCGCTGCTAAAACGACGTGTTTTCAGTGTTTTTGCAACAAGTGTCGCGTAAGGGTTTTTTTGCTGGCAAAATATTTTTGCTTTCACAACATTAAGTATTTTTTTGTTATTTAAGAACTCGAATGACTTGTTACTTTAGCAATTCGAGCTTTTTGAGTTTTATAGTTCATTGGTATATTAGTAGTTATTCATGGTTGTAGTTCAAAATGATTTGGCGTGTAAGCAAAAGTAAGTGAACAAGATTCGATTAATTTTGGCGCTTTAGCAAAAAGTAGCCTTTTTTTAATAAGCTTTAAAGTATTTTAGCGAAAATGAGAGCATTAATCAAAGCAAAAACTATAGTAGTTAAGTATTATTAACAAAGACATCTCAAACACACTTGTGACTATAAGCACACACTACGCACTCGGGTCACTCACAAGTGCCTGCAAAGATGCAAGAATGTTGCAACTATCCAAATAAATAATTTGCTCCCTGGGCACACATTTATGCCGGTGGATTCAATGCACTCACACATTGAAAAAAAGTGTTCGTTCGTTTCAGCCCGAACGATATCCACTGCTGGATCCCCCAAGGCCAGGCCTCCCCCAAGGATTTTCACAAAGACCGGGCCCGCGCTCGCATCCAGGCACCTCCTGCAACCACCACCTCCAGATCGTCGGTGCACCTAGTGGGAGGCCTGCCCACACCACGTCTTCCGGCTCGTGGTTGCTACTCTTTTTCCAGAAATTTTCTACCCCTGCAGCCATCAGCTCTGCAAGCTATGTGCCCCGCCCACTGCCACTAGATTTTAGCGATTCTGCGGGCTATGTCAGTCACTTTGGTTCCCCTGCGGATCTCCTCATTTCTGATTCGATCACGCAGGGAAACTCCGAGCATAGCACGCTCCATCGCTCTTTGGGCGACCTTGAGCCTTCTTATGAGGCCTATATAAGCGACCACGTCTCAGATCCACAAGCCAAGAAAAAAGGGTAACAAACACTATTGTATGGGCGCCGCGCCGTCAAATTGACCTGCCTGCAGTATATGCTGCTCTATCAAGAAAATTTCCCAAACTAATGGCAAGATAAGTCTTTCCCTGGCTTCTTGAGGATGAAGTGAGCCGTCTTCCATTTTTTGGTGAAATACGCTATAGATAGGCATTTGTTTGCAATTTCCATTAATATCTCCCTTTCGCTACGAATAGCTCTGGTACATAAATATCGGCGGGAAATCATCCGGTCCCGGGGCTTTCTTTAGATTTTGCACGTTAAGCACGGCCTCCACTCCTGCCTCGGTAAAAAGGGGATCGTTTGCTGTTTGCTCTTCTAAAGTTTCGCTCTCTATCAGTTGTCGGAGACGCGTGTGGTGTGGTTTATCTATTGTCACGGAATAATCTGGATCAGCCGATTATTCTGGGCACTCTGCCCAGTCTTGCCGTTAAAACCATTCAGGAGCATGTCCTCTTTTCTCTGGAGCTTTCCCGATGACTCCATAGATTCCATCCCACATGTTTTCTCTCTCGTGTGTCGAGCAGAACTCATTCCAACTCTTTGTTTGCGCCTCGCTGGTCTTCGGTGCGTATTCTTGTTGCCGCACTTTCACCTAGACAGAGAGAATAGGTTATGGCGTTGTGGTCTGAAGTGACTAGCGTTCTGTCCACTTTCTCTTTAATCCTACCCAGTAGTGGCTTACTGCACGCTGACACATCCACTTTGCTTGTGCGCAATCTGCCCTGTCGATATTTTTTGAAAGAAGAAACTGTAAGCTTCACCTAAGCTTTCGGAAACGCTGCCCCACCATTGGTTCTAGGCGTTCACGTCTCCCCCTATAATGATGTTTTGGGTGTTTAGCTTTTTCATACCGCTTTGTGCGTTATATCTAAAGCTCAATTGGATTGTCTCCCTCATAATACACGGACACAATTCCTAGTTTTAGCCTGCCTGCCCCCAGTGTTACCGCGGCCTCCGTCTCCGTGACCAGTTAGGGGTCGTGAATGACTCAATCGGTCACCGAAGACTGAGTGACTGGTTTCTGCCGATTGAGTGCTAAGGTTATATCCTTGTCCTCGGCTGCTTGCAGCAGTTCGGCAGTGGCTTGCTTGGAGCGTCTCAGGTTAGCTCAGATGATGTTGAGCTTTCACAAATCAAATCAAATCTCCCAAAAGACCACGGACACGGTCTTTTAGGAGATTTGAACTCTGCATGTTTAGGGTGTTCTTAGCAGTATGCTGTTCTGGAAAGCGCTATGTAAGTAGTCCTACTTTTGTTTTTCTGGGCATTCATCACTTTATCACTGCTTTGCTCATAGGGCTTTTGTATGTCCAAAACAGAGGCATTTGGCGCATTTCACTAGTGGGGTCTTCTACCGGTCTTATCTCCAGACCTATGTGAACTGCCCCCGCCTCGAACAAGCGTTTGTAGAGAATGGGCGACACTTCCATCCATAGCATTGTAGAGTTTCTTATTTTGGGCCTTTAGATTGTCATCCTTTTCCACCCTTAGACCTTTGATTTTGAAGTCAAAAGTGGTTCTGACGGTCTTATGACATTGTCGCCGGTTATGCTCAAGTCCGTCGATGAGACTATCAGTGTGTGGGCATAGAGATAGTTTGAGTCCCGGGAAAGAACATAGGATAGTTTTTATCCCGGTTTTTGAAACAGGGACGCGCGCGATAAAGTTTTTCTGTGACAGACAAAATTCCACGCGGGCGAAGCCGCGGGCGGAAAACTAGTTCAAAATATAGTAATTACCTACCACTCCCGTACCCGGTTAGAAGTAATGACAATCAAATTATGCATGATGTTAGGATAAATTAAGCATTTTTTGTCATAAAACATAATACCTATTCAATCTATAAGCATTACTTTTGCATAAAACGTTTAATGTAGTAAGAGTTTAGTAACATTTGCTTATATTCGTTCTATAGGGTCTGCGTGTAAGCAAATATTCATGTAAGCTCCATGGATAATATCGCTTTTACGCATTTTTTCGCTGGCGCATGCGACTATCTTATTTTGTAGTTTAGTAATTTATCTTCGACTTACTTATTAAGCTGTATCTCACTAAGTATTTTTTCTCTTTTATCAAAAAGGTTGTTCAAACTATTTAGCACTTATTGGTTGCTGGATATCCCAATCCCAACTAATATTATAAATGCGAAAGTAACTCTGTCTGTCTGTCTGTCTGTTACGCTTTCCCGCTTAAACCTCGCAACCGATTTTGATGAAATTTGGCATAGAGATAGTTTGAGTCCCGGGAAAGAACATAGGATAGTTTTTATCCCGGTTTTTGAAACAGGGACGCGCGCGATAAAGTTTTTCTGTGACAGACAAAATTCCACGCGGGCGAAGCCGCGGGCGGAAAGCTAGTTTNATTCCTTTTTTAAACAGGAAAAGTTTGTTTTGAATAGAACCGATTTGAAAAAATCTCTCACCATTAAAATTCAATTTTTTTTCTGCTGAACATAGGCTGTATAAAATATTCTCAAAATAGTAAAAAACCTTTGATAATTTACTATTTGATAAAGAATTTACGTAATTTATTATTGATTAGGACTAATGTATACCATTATTTATAATTATGGAGTCGGTGTTGGAAGATTTGAAGATTTTATAGTTTCCTTGAGCTGTCACTTGACAGCCTGGCACACTTTTACGATGGTGGATCAAAGTATTTTGGTTTGACTATAGAGCGTGAGAACACGCACACACTCATAATTATTTTAGTGTGAATAAAAATAGCATCGAAATTACCTAAACTTGACATGCCACGCTAGACGTAAACGCTCTTAACTATGGTCTTGGCACCTTCCCCATTTCATCTCGAAATAGCTGGCCGACCCGGCTAAATTCGTACCGCCTTTACATCAGAAATAATGTAGGATTCTGAGGATTTTTTTTTCAAATCTGTCTAGTAGTTTTGGAGCCTATTCTATGCAAATAATCAAATCTTTCCTCTTCTCTTTATAATATTAGTGTAGGTAGATAGGTGTCTTGGGTTCTCTGGAAGTATAACACAAGAGATCACTTTCTAGCGATAGGCAGAATAAATTATGCCGTTTCAATTTTGCATTTGTTTTTTCATATTATTTTTGTGTGGTGTGCATGTATCTGTTTTTGCTTGAACTGAAATGAAGCTGTGTTTTAATTAAAGCATTACCTGTTCTTGATAACATTAGATTGAGGAATAATTTTCTAAACAAACTAATTAGTAAAATGAAAAACTTATAACAGTAAAATAAAACCACCGTATCTTTTAACTTAAAACGTAACAGTCTTTTTAATTTCATATTACATTAAACTTAACATTTTTAACAATTTCAATATCACTTTACACTTTTCTTCACAAACTAACACCTTTCGAATACTTTGTACAGATCATTCAGGTTTGCTATTTGCAATATAGCGCCGTTGTTCACAAAACTAGTTGGTGGTAGAAAATTTCTTCTAATAGCGGGAAAGATCACGTGTTCCTGCTTCCAGAATTCAGAATTCCGGGCTTCTAAGTTCGTGTCTGGATTGGGTTGGGAGTAAAAAATGGCGGTCTGTCGGCTGAAGGTATCGAAGCAATCCTTTTCTGATTCCCAATTAACTTCAGTCACGAGTCGGACTAGATAGGTCGGTAGCGCGCCCATGAATGGTGTGTGGTTATCTGAAAATAAAAATTCAAAATTAGTTAACATAAAATATCACGTCTCAGTGTTTATAGATGTGGAATTTTGTCTGTTACAAAAAAACGTTATCGCGCGCGTCCCTGTTTCAAAAACCGGCATAAAAACTATCCTATGTCCTTTCCAGGACTCACGCTATCTCTATGCCAAATTTCATCAAAATCGGTTGAGTGGTTTAGGCGTGAAAGCAAGACAGGCAGAGTTACTTTCGCATTTATAATATTATAGTATTTATTATTCGAAGTTCGATTTATAGTTGGGACACAAGTATTGTAAAATCACTTTTATTCCCAATCCCAAAACATTGTCAGTATGGCCTCCTGCTAGATGGACGGACGATCTGGTGGAGGTCAAGGGAAGTACCTACCTGGATGGATGCGGGCAGCGCAGAACCGGTCATTGTGGAAATCCTTGGGGGAGGCTTTTGTCCAGCAGTGGATGTCATTTGGCTGAAACGAACGAACGATAGGTTATTCTTTCTTACCTAAAAGCAAAGGTAAGGCCAATAAGTCTCCATGTTCATTCATTTCTAATGAGAAGTACTCGTATAACATCGCTCTTTTGCTCAGTAGAAGTTCCGTCATTTGTCGCGCCATTTCACGCATATCACCTGAAAAATACAATAACAGAAAATTTCTTCATGCATCAATACTATTTTCATGGTGAACACAAGCATTTTTACGAACTCCTCCTATGCTCTTCAGACTAATTTCGTTGCGGGTCAAATGACAGTTTAGCTTTCCCCCAGGACAAACTTAACCTTCAATGGTTGGGTTTTTATTGGAGGTCAAGCTGTAGATCCTGGCTACACAGGAGTTGCAGCGGTGGGAATACTGAATAGTAAGCATTTCTAGGCGTTTTGGACGTCTATAATGTAGTTTTTCTTTGGTAAATTATAAAATTACCTAAATCAGGATCCCATTCATTTTCCTGTGAACTCAGTCCGAGAACAATCAACTCTTCTAGTGGCAGTGGATTCGACATCTTTATCAAACCGAAGTTCTGAAAGTCGTACAGCATTGTTTCATAGAATAATTCCTCCCTTGAAAATAATGCAAAATATTAGATTATTTGCACTATACAGGCATGTTTAGGTAAAATTTTATAATAGAGAAACGCGGGTCTCTCAACGCGACATTTTTATATGAGTTACATACAGTCTGCTTGTGAGTTGTGCTTGTGACCATGGCTGTAACAACATAGTTGAAATGTCAAGCCGTGAGTACCTACTTACATAATGTAAGTCGCACAAAAAATTTACGTTGAGATTCGTGTTTCTCTTTTTTAAAATGGATAGCGAAAGTTTAAAATCTTATAAAATTTTATGAGAGAATGATTGTTCAATGCGATTTAAGTTTGATTCGATCAATTTATTTATACGTACGTTAATCTCGTAGTATCGCACAAGTACAACTTAGTCGAGTGTTGAATCAGGGACTTGTGGCAATCGATGCAGGCTATAAAAATTAAATTCGCCAGAATCTCTCTTAAATTCGTATTACATTTGTTCTCAACGTCTATTCTTAGTTGCTTCACACTGCTTAACTTGGTTTCTATACGTTCATATTTAAAAGTTCTAGTTTTGAAAGACTCCTTAGGGTCTATGTACGTAGCGTTCGCTTGGTCAGCAGCTGTATGTGCTTTCCATCTATCTGGCATCTTTTTTACAGCTTCACTAGGTTCATTTACTATTGAACTTTCTAATACATCCTCATTTGCTTCATCTATCACTATATTAGGTATTTCTTTACTTAAGTTGGGTATTTCTTCAGCCATTGAGACGTCTTCTTCGAACAAGTCTTCGTCTTCAATTTTCTCATTATTTTGGACTCTATTCTCAACATTTTTGTCTGTTACATCAACTTTTTCTCTGTTTTCAGGTTCTTTAACGATTGTTGGGAAGAACTTGTTTATTTTCTGAACATCAGGGTTTACTCGCACCATATTATTGGCGTATACTTTGGCCCCTTCAGTGGTTTTTTTCACTATTTCTTCAACAGCAGTTGCGCCAGGTAAGCGGGCCTGCAATTTCAATTTTGTCAAAACGTAGTCGGCGGGAAGTCTAGTGGTGTATAATTTGGGTTGTAAGACAGTGAATTTGGTGTCGTAATAGGCATAATAATTTAGAAATTAAGGTGGTTACGAAAATGATAAAATTGAATTTTGATGAAAGATTAAAATTAAAGTGACTTTAGATGTCATTACATTTGAGCTTGTCAGTTTGTCAAAAAAGGTGTTTGTGGCCGTATTTAAAAAGTGGATTGATAAATTAAGTTATACAGGGTGTTGAAATTGAATTTTCAGTACAAGCGCATTATTGTATTATTGATTATGTAATATTATATTTACCTGTGTGTACATGACCCTTGTAGAGTTACAACTGAGCAGTTTGCTTTCAATGCACGATTTAATTTTCTCAATGATCTGTTCTTCGTACAAAAACTGCACTTCATGTTTAGTAGGATGCACATTTACGTCAACATTTCTTGGATCTGTGAAGTTCATTGCATGGAAAGAAAGAAAAAAACATTATTTTATTACAATGTTGCAATTATGATGTACGAATTATAATAAAACTAGCTTTCCGCCCGCGTGTAATTTTGTCTTTCACAGAAAAACTTTATCGCGCGCGTCCCTGTTCCAAAAACCGGGATAAAAACTATCCTATGTCCTTTCCCGAGACTCAAACTATCTCTATGCCAAATTTCATCAAAATCGGTTCAGTGGTTTAGTCGTGAAAACAAGACAGACAGACAGACAGAGTTACTTTAGAATTTATAATATTAGTATAGATAACAACTTACCCAGTTGCAAACTAAGATATACAAAGGAATGAGCATTTTTTGGAAGATATGTTGAGTATACAGACTCTACTGCTTTTCGTATAGCTGAAAAAAGTAATTAATTTTATAAAACACTTAATTTTGAGCCTTCTACTGAACATATTTAAAGTTAAAATTACCTAAAAGTACAAATACCCTTACCTACTGAATCGACTAGCCTGTGGTTAATGAAAAGCAGCATTGTGCCCTTTTTGTGCGAATAGTTCACATTTGTGATGTGCCCATGTAGTACCAGTTTCAGCTGAGGGTCTTCAAGATGAATCTCCATTAACTCCCTGGCTATTGCATTGCCATGTATCTGAAAGAAATACCTACATTTTTAGTGGAAATAATATAATTTGTGCTATTTGTATAAACAATGTCTGATGGAAATAAAGTTGGCCATGATGACGTAAAGCTGGCCACGATAACGTAAAGCACTTTGCTAAGCAAGCTATGGATAAGGCGATGCTTGGGATAGATGAAATTAAGAAGTGTGTAGCTGCACTAGTTATGTGAAAGAATCATATTTTGGAACCAAAAAATAAAATCAAAATTCCAGACTTTTTACACCTGTATATGAGCCTGGACCCATCAACCACCGCCGTAACACGGCACGTACCACAGCCGCCTATATTTTACAGTCAGTCTAGAATCTAGATCATTGGTTCCCAAAGTGGGGGGCGCGCCCTCCAGAAGAGGCGGAAATACCTTTAAAGGGGGGCGCGGGCCATCTGTGTACTTAAGTATAAAAAACCTGCGACCGCTGAGAGAATGCATTACCAGACTGCTCGATACGACCAATAAATAATCTTGACTGGAGGAGGGGGGGCGCGGAATTTATGGTCGAAAGGGGGCGCGTCTGAAATAAGTTTGGGAACCAATGGTCTAGATAGATGGATCCTGATAAATAATTATTCTTCTTCTGTTATTTTTAACAAAGAATGAATGACGACGTTGTTCCGTGTTTCGGCGCGGCGCCGCAACGTGAAGAGGGGGTCAGGCCCTATAACAATATTCTTTAATAAAATGAGTTTTGAACACAAACTTACAATTCGAACATTATCAACAACAGTTGACTTTATAGGTGTTTTCAGATCAGTTGTCTCTCCAAACTTTTTCAACGTAAACCCAACATGACTATTATGTATTGCGTATCCGCCTACTACTTCCATTATATGGGCGTATTCTTCGGTAGGGCTCCTAAGGGCTTTTTTACGAGCTATCACGTTGTAGAAAAGATCCTCCACAGTGATTTGTGTCCCATTATTGCCAGCACAAGCTTTTGTTGGGCCCTTTAGCTTTCCGTTTTCATATGATGCTCTGAAAATGAGCAAAATATAAATTATTCATAGAAAAAATTTCCTGTATACAGTGTGAGTCTTGATAAAGTGCACATATGAAAATAGGTGACTTATGGGTATTTTATGTGTTTTTTTAGTATCACCTGTTATTTAGCATTATTGCTGTTTTTATTTTATCAGGATACACCTTTTAGTTTAAAAGTTATTACGTTTTCTTTACAATAAGTAATTGAAAGAAAAAAATTCTATAAAAAGTTTAAAAAAGAACTCAGATATTTTTTACCTTTTTTTGTCGGTAAAAATAGGTCTAGTTTCACTTATTTTCATATGTGCACTTTATGAAGACTCACACTGTATTTATTCAGTTCTTTTAACTTGAATAAATAAATTAATTCTTCGAATCTAAACATTTAAAATGCGGATGCGGGCAGCGCAGGACCGTTCATTGTGGAAAACCTTGGGGGAGGCCTTTGTCCAGCAGTGGACGTCATTTGGCTGAAACGAAACATTTAAAAATGTAATATTTCAGACATACTTGTATGCACATTTCCCAGCTGCAGTTTTACTGAGAATAGTAAGATGTGCGATATGGCTGATGCTTGCCAATGCTTCGCCTCGGAACCCATACGTACTGATCTCCCTCAAGTCTTCGTATTGCTCCAATTTGGACGTGGTAAACCTCTCACAAACGATCTCGAAATCTTCATGTCTTATTCCTGTGCCATTGTCTTGGATCTGTAAATATACAACGTGTCCCAAAATTCAACGATAAGCCGGCGCCACAGGTGATTATAGTCATGACTTTTAAAAAATAAGAAAAAATTTTTTACCTGTAAGTACTTGAGACCACCTGCTTTTACTGTTATTATTATATTGGTGGACTTAGCGTCTAAACTGAAAAATAAGAAATCATTTTAATAAGCACTTTATGTACCTACGTAATAATCATCCTAACTGAAAGAAACCTAAGACCACAAAATAGTTAACGTACCAAGTACATAAGTTTTAATTACTATTAAAAGTTTATAACAGCATAATTTTAGGCTAAGTGTTCTTAGATATTACCACTTAAAGTCGTCTATAATAAAAAATATAATAGTTTTTAGTCAAAAATAAATACGAGACATTTTCTAACCTGTTTTCTATTAATTCTTTTAGAGCATTTGCTGGTCTTTGTACGATTTCACCGGCAGCAATGCGATTTACAACTTCTTCGCTTAGTTTTCTAATAATTCCTGGCTCTCCCATCATAGCAATGAAATGTAAATAAAAAGAAAATGTCCAAACAATACATTCCAAATCAACCAACGTAGTGAATTATATCCTCTTTGCCAAACTCCGCCAATTTTAATCACAGATTACTTATATTTTAATTTGACTTTTTGTTTTTTTTTGGATTTACGGCTCTGGGTCACCTGGGTGCAAGCCGATTTATTTTGACATCTGACCAGGGTTGCCAGATATCAGCTAACTCCATTCGCCAAATTTTTCCTACCGCTGAACGCAGCCATTGATGACGTCACGTCCGTCACTCACGTGTCACTGTCAGCTGTCAGTCAGTTCGCGTCATCAGGGTCCGGAAACTTCCATACTACGATCAATCTTGCTTCCAAACAGCGACTTCAGTCGATAAATTCCAATACTTTTTTTTTTCTTTATGGCTCTCGCGGATTGCGTTTAGCCACGACAGGGTTCTTGATTTTTGCGTTCAGTTTTGCCATAAGTTTTGCGGACATTGCGTTTAGACAGGGTGGGATTGGGTTAAAGTTAAAAGGTAGGGAAACGAATCAATTACGGATGGAAACGGAACAAAGGATGGTTTTCATAGGATCAATTTAGGTGTGATATAATTACAAAATAATAAAAATAAAATAATATTTACATAAGTACAATATACATTACTATTTACAATTTTATATTATTATGGGTAATAAATTCGGCTAGGATATTATAAACATCAATGTTATTGGTATATAATAGGCAAGTGATGGATGTAGGAAAAGGAATTTTAATGGCTAAAAGAGAACTAATAAAAGAGGAACGATCATATAGGCAACAGTAAAAAAATATGTGATTTAAGTCTCCGACGCCAGAACCACAAATGCACGAATCATTATCAAGTACATGAATTTTAGCCAAGTGTGCTGGAGTGCACACGTGACCAAGTCGCATTCTAGTTAAAATGGTAGTAACTGTTTTGGAAAGATTCATTTTAACAAACCATGGTTTACAAAGGATGGATGGTTGAATGAGCTTGTAATGTTTCCCCTTAGATTGGCTAGTGAACTCCCAATTCTCATCCCAGGCAGATTTGAGATAAGCTTTGGGAAGGGCTGCCGTTAAGTCATGGCAATAATTTGTGTACGGATGTATATAAATTAATTTGTTTTAATTTAAAACTGAACGGTGACATTTTTTGTTATAATTTACTTAATAGAGTAGTAGAAATTACTATTTAACATATGGCAACTTTGTTTTTCCTCCAAAATGGCCGGTGTTGTTTTTGTTAGGTTGAATGCATTCTTGTTTTCTTAGCCATCGTTTATGAGTTCTGTGGCCCTATTAAAGTATTGAAGAGTCGAGTCAAATTCAAGTTCATTCCTTCGTACCTGCTGCTGTTCTGGTTCATCGGAGTTTTGTTCGTTCCTTCGTGAATCGCGAAGAAACTTTCTGTTATGTTAACAAGTGATCTGAGTTTTCTCAAAGTGCAAATGCTTTTTTAGTGTTGTTGAAAACTTTGCGAAAAGACGCTTTTGGTGTATAATATTATGTGTGTTCATAAATAAAGTAAAATTATTAAATTGAAAAGTTTTTGTTTATTTGCATTTCCATGTGCAATGTAGAATTTTTCCAAATCCATTGTTTTGAAAATAATACAATACGTACACCATAAAGATAAATACTTTCAAAATATTGGATTTGAAAAAATTCTACATTGTACATCATAAAAACAATAATTCTTTGAAGGTTATGAGGGCCTATGTGTGCGTGAACTGTGTGTATGTGTGCGTGGACTTTATGTATGTATGTGTGCGTGTACTATGTGTGTATGTGAGCGTTACGTACGTAGGTTAAGTACAGCGAATTTAACACCAGGCTGTCAATTAGTAGGCTCAAAAATTTGACAGAGAGGGTTCTCTATTTCCTATGTATTACTTTTCTCTATGCGCGTCATCTCGTCAGCTGTGTTCAGCATTCAAGTTTACTATATTCTAAAAATCTAGTTTCACGATAAAAAAATCTCGTAACTTAATATAATTTGAGTATTAAATTCACGGGACGTTCTGGACGAGTCGGTGAAACTTATAAACATCCTCAAGACATACAATGCAAAATGGTTGGCCCATTACTCCTGTTGAAAGTGCTGCACTGCAAGCAAATCTGCAAAAACCGCGCTGAAACATGTAATAAAGAAGGCATTTCGTACGAATCTACCGATGAAGAGGAGGAAACAAACTGTCGAGTTTGTTTGAAGGAAGGCCACATTCCAATTTACGGCAATGATATGGTGGAAGATGTGTCTGAAGCTTTAAAAACTTTTGGGGGCATAGAACTTGAAGTAGACGACGCCTACACGAAATATCTATGCCAAAATTGCTACACACAGATTCACAATGCGATAGAATTTAGGAAGACTGCACAAGAGACAGACTATGTTCTAAAAAATCCAGGTTCAACACAATCATACAATTTTGATGTTGATGTTGATGCACGCTCTATTGACGATAATGATCATCCCGAATCAGATATGGACATTCCTTTAATTGAGTTTAAAAGTAAAAAAGAGAAGAAGGAAAGAAAGTGGCAGTGTAGAAGATGTGACTTAGATTTTAAAGGCTTTGACGACTATCAGGAACACAGATTATCCGATGAACATGAAAATTTCAGGAAGACTTGCCCAATTTGTAATAGATCATTCACCTATTCCTCATATAGAAATCATATGAAGCTGCATGGAAGAGAAAAACCTTTCATGTGCGACTTTTGTGGCAAAAAGTTCATAATGCAGGGTCAGTTCACTCGTCACCGTGCCACTCATATAGACCATTTACCGTTCCAATGTACAATGTGTCCGTATCGTGGAAGGTTTAATGAATGTCTTAAAATGCATATGAGGACTCATACTGGAGAAAAACCATATCAATGTAGCGAGTGCCCAGCACGGTTTGTTAACAAAAGTAACCTCTCTAGACATGTACTCATTCACAGAGAAGAACGAGACTTTAAGTGTGACACATGTGATCGGGGATTTTACACTAAGAGAGAGTTTGATTTGCATTTGAAAGTTGATCATACAGGAGTTAAGGATCACATTTGTAATATGTGCGGCAAAGCTTTCGGTTACAGAAGACAGTTGCTCAAACATCAGTTAAAAGTACATAAAAGAGAGAAATTGAGAGGTGGTAGAATTCCTGTATATTTGACTCTCGAATCTGAGAAAAGAAAACGGGAACTAGCAATGAATCAAGGATTAATTTTAGATATGGATACATAATATTATGCTGTTATTAATAAGTTAGTTTTGTGCGCTTCCATAAATTGTCAATATTGTTGATGTAATCAAAGTATTTATTTAAGACACATTATCAGTACAAAAAGACAATCAGTACAATTTAAAAAGTAAATAAAATGGTTTCTTTTAAACAGCTTTACTTACTTTTGTAAAATGTTTTTAACTTTGAATTGACTGTGACAATGTGCTTAATGAATTGTACAATAAAATGTAATTTATTACTATTCTGTTATTAACTTGGGGTGCTAATTGACTTAAAATAAAACAAATAATAGCTGTATTAACTTTTATTATTAAAACCCTCTAGATTTAACTGGAGTCAGTTTTACATTGAACTATGTATTTCATTTTTGATTTTTTTATCTGGAGGCTGGTCAGCATCATTGTGGTCTCGTAATTGCAAAGAAAGGGCTCTCTTTCTACCGCTTATTAATTTTTCCCTTTTATGTACTTTTAACTGATGCTTCGTCATGCTCTTTCTGTATCCGAATGCCTTTCCGCAAATATTGCAAAGGTGCTCTCTTGCCCCATCGTGATCTGCTTTAGTATGCATTGATAATTCACGCTCCGTATAAAAACCTTTTTCACATTTATCACACGGATATAAAGGTAATTGATTTCTGTGAGTGTACTCATGCCTGGTAAGATTGCTTTTGTTAATAAACTTGGCCGTACAATGCTGACATTGATAAGGCCTTTCACCGGTGTGTTTTCTCAAGTGCACCTTGTAGTCTCCACCGAAACGTGTTCGGTATGGACATTCCGTACATTTGTATGTTGGAGAGGAGAAATGAGTGTCTTTATGACGTTTTATCAACGATTCTAAGTACTTATGATTACAAATCTCACACTTTATTGTCTTAAAATTTCGGTGATGGGTTAAATGCTTTTGAATGTAATTAAACTTTCTATTGCAAAATGGGCATTTGTCTCTGACTCTACTATGCATATCAGTCAGCATATGGGTCCCATAATCGGTTGAATTATCAAAGTCTATTTTGCATAATTTACAATGATACTTTGTATTTATATCAGCCAGTGTTTCCTGGAATATATCATCATCAATATCCAAATATTCTTGCTTTACTGACACTGCATACTCTACTTCTTCTTTTTGTTCGGTTACTCTGAGAAATTGATCGGTTTCTATGGCTGTTTTCCTAAACATAATGGCATTTTGAAGTTGCTCATGACAGGCGTGGCATAAAAACTTTGGAAAGTTATCACTTTCTAGAACCTCTATGCCCCCATAAAATATTAGGGATTCAGATAAATCTTCTATCGTTTCGTCGCCGTGGATTGGAATGTCGCCTGCATTTAAACACACTCGACACAATTTTATTGGTTTGTCTTTCAATTTTTTTTCATACATAATATTCTGGAAAGCACCCCCAGTAGGTCTCAGCTTCTTTTCCAATTTTAATGGCCGACCTTTTTTTCTAACGATTTGATTGCTGGAGCTCATGTCTTCGAGATTTAATGGTAGTTCTTCATCCATCATCAAAATCCAACTATTTCCTTGTTTATCTATGTTGTCAGTTTCAATGAAATTTCGTATGGCTATTAAAGATATTTGCTAAAATATTAATGTCAGTTGTAACTTGAATTAGTATTTATCGAGTAAATAGGTTTTTAAATACAATTAATGGTTTTTTAGTTAATTTTTTTCTTATTTTTGCTTGAGTGAGATGATTTCAATCAGAATTTCAGAAACGCTAAATGTCAAAAGTCTTATTTTAACGTTTATTTATTCGATACTGGCTACTCATTGACAGTACTAGACCTGTGACTTTCTAAAATCACAGTGAAAAAGTCGGTCAACTGTACACTCAACTGTAACTGCAGTCTGTGGTTACTCGTCTCGTACGTACGTTAAAATAGCAAACAACAACAATCAATCAATCAGCTGTCTGTTTTCAAAACTTGAAAAGGTTGTTCATCATATTAATTTTAATTTGTTGATTTGATTCAGTTAATCAATCATTTATTGTGTTTGCGGCTCACTAAATAATAGCTTCAGTTTTCAGATACCGATTCGTTGTTAACAATCGCCTCTTATGAATCTTGTCAGGGTGAGGTTATGTTCCTAATACATCTTATTTACTTTATTGTATCGTTTTCTAAATGAAACTTTATAATTTTAGAGTATCTGGCGTTCAACGCCAGCCGTACGTAATGCTTTCGTCAATAATTACGCTAGTTTGCGGCCTCTTTCAACCACCGTTACACCAGTCACTCCAGTTCCAAATTTAGAAGATGTCCCATCGACAGTGGAACTCGATAAACTGTTTAAGAGAGTGGAGTTGGAGATGAGAGGCATAGATCCCGCAGTTCTGTTGAGTTACTCCTGGTTTTGTGTGGCAGCTGCTTCCCATTTGGGCATTGAAGTCACTAAAAAGTTTGTATACCTGTTATAACCAAAAATATTACACATTGAATTAAAGAGGTCTTGTATTTATCAAATGTAATAAATATAAAGTTATTATTACTACACAGACCCATGAATCAAGACAATAGAAATAAATTGTTACTGTGGTCTCATGTGACTGCTTAGAGTGATGGGTTTTACCAAATCTTTGCGTTGTCAGCATGATTGTATTTAAAATTGATTTTTTCTTTCAGTTGGGCCTTAAGAAAATCAGAAAAAGAAAGGCACACTTTACTCAGAGCTGTGCATATTTACAAAAAACATAGAGTACAATATGAAATCCGTACATACTTCAGATTCTTACACTTGCAACGACTTACTGGATCAACTTGCGACACATACTTGGAATACATTGAAAGAAATCTCCCAGAAGGATGTGCTCTGAAGGTCACAAAAGTGGAATGTCAGAAAATGCCAGAACACATAAAACCACCAAGTCAAGAATAATTAAAAAAGTTCTTTGTAGATTTGTTAATAAAACTTATTGTTAGACTATATCAGTGTTTATTTTAAAACAAACCTGTTTACATTGTGTTAAAAAAAGTGTGTTCACTTATTCTAATAGTAAAGACTAGTATCTACTAAATAAAAATGGCAATAATAAGAACCAATTACTGGTTTCTATCAGATCTTGTTGGAGTTAACTAATATAGTTTTAATATGTTTCTCTTACTTAGGTATATTACTTTATACTAAAATATAATATTGAGCTTTTAATGTTACTATTTAGTACCAATTTATTTTGTATCTGAAGCAAATATCAGAAATTTAATTTTAATAATATATGCATTGTATGTACACACTTGCCTAGTCAAACACTTCAAAAAGATGAATTGCACAATTCACACAATATATTAAAAACAATGGAATGTATATCACTCAGTCCTTAAATACATTTGGCATTAGATTTATCTTTGGCCATTACTTCATTAAAATAGTAACATTTAAAATTATGCTATTCAAACTAGAAATTTATACACTAAAGATGATTAAGGTGGCAAAAACTAGCTCCAGAGTATGCAATATGAGTCAGAGAAACAATTCTTATTTCTTTTCTAATATCAAACATTTGGCATTAATATTTCTTTGGCAAAGAGCTCTGTGTAAATGTATTCTATTCAAACTGCTGGTGTTTACACACAGTAAAGATGAAGAGAATGGCGAAGGCAAGCTCCAGGGCATGGAATATCAGCATCACAGCACACCAAATGTATTCCAGGCGGAGAATGTAGGTTTGGTAAATTAAAAAATAGCACACTCCTACTGCAGAGGGGATGGTTAGAATTACTGAGAAGAATACTGGAATTTCTGTAAAGGGAAAACCAAAATGTTAATTTCTTTTATGCTTCAGGCATAGTAGATGGAAGTCAAACAAAGCACTTTATAGTTTCTTACTTTTGCTAGCCAAATTTCCTCTTCGTCCCAAGAAAATTCGGATCACTTCGACCAGACAGAGGGCACAAAATATTCCTGCCTCAGTCAGCAAGGCATTCTCTGGATAAGAAACATTTATCGCCTTTAGAATCCCCATAGCGACTTCACACACGAAGAACATACCTAAATAAAAACTATTTAAGTAAAGCAGAATTTCATACGCTAAACTAGAGTTCACATTTGTTACTTTGGACATTTTATTTGGTAAAGTAAAAAAGATTTAAATTATTTGTTTACAATTTCGTGTTTGACGTCTACGACGAATGAATCTGACGTCACCTGTCATTTTTTCAATCGATGAAAACCGGATGTGGGCTACGGTTGGAGGGAGACTTGTGTGGGGTAAGTGAAAGAGACAGAAAAAAGTTTTTGGCAAGCGCGGGCAAATGAGCGAGAGCATAAGGTTCCGGAAAATTGTAATAGATGGCAGCTCTAGCCATGTAGTATTTTATCTGTTTAATCTAATTAAAATATTAATTAAATAATTAATTGTTGATTGATGATTACAATGCACACCCCGAGTCAAATTCCTAATCTTTCGAGTACTAGGTAGTTATTAGCTAACGTAAAAACAAAATTGTGGTGGAAAACCACTAGTTAATATTACCTACTCGTAACATAATTTTAATAAAGTTTCCCCTACATTAGGAGGTTATTACATAATTCGCTGTTGCATAAACTTGCAGATGGTATTCCTAACTTGCGAATTACACGTTACGCACGTAAACCACAGTAAAGGTAAGGTCATACCGACAGAAATTAATGAGTACCTAATAAGCATAGCTCTAAACGGGAGGAGGTTGGTCCTACGAGGGTGGGCTACATGACCTTTTCGCCTTGGTTCGACATCATCTAGATGAGGGCAGCATAGATTTGCGAAAATTTGAACTTTTTTTATACTCTTAAAATCGCTTCTAGAGGGCATTGGTTGTTCCTACGGGGATGAACTATTATAAACTTTTTTCTCGGTTTGAGGTCCCCTACACAATGGCATCAAAAACGTTGTCAGTTTCGGGAAAAACATTTTTCGTTTCAATTTTTAACACGTATAAGTATGTTAAATCTTCCGAAATGTAACGTTTTAACGTTTAACGAAGCTAATTTTAGTAATGGTTAACTATTGATTAAAACGGTTCCCAGCAATGCAAATAATATCTTAAAAAGTAAAGTCTTCAATGTCTCGTGTCTTTAAATTAACGTATGACGAACTTAGTGAACTTCATAGAATCGATCACATAAAATCTTTTGTAAGTTGTAAACAGAAAGTGGGCTTATTTAATTAATTACTCCAGTTTTATTTTTGTTGTTCTTTTTTTTTATCCGCAACGAGAAAGCTATTGGCCTGTATCTCACCTGATGGTAAGTGATGATCAGGCCGAGAAGGTGGAAGCGAGCTTCACCTGGACTCCTCAACCACGGAGGAACTGGCTATCTTACCTCTAACTGCCGGAACACAACAATGCTGTTAACATTGTTGTTATGGCGACAGACTTAGGTAAGATGGTGGTAGCTAGCCAGGCTAATATTTGTTTTTTAAGAAGTTTTGAATTTTCCACCTTGTCTGGTCTGTGAGCACGTAGAATTTTGTCTAATGACCCCAAGCTACCTATCCTTATCGCGCGCGCGTAATTATGTTGCTATCGCGCTCGCACACTCACTGCGGGTGCCAGTCGCACAGTCGCGACAGCCACAGATATAATAATAATAATAATAATAATATAATAATAATAATAAAACGTTTATTGCCAGTAAAACCAAATACATAAAGTCCTTATATCTAGCGGATACCGCACTAAGCGAAGCTTGTGACGCGGTAACCTTTAAAACTTGTTACACAAAAGAATCTTTACAAGTGGTCTGGGAACATTCAGATCAGACTATATATATAGGCGACAGCAATATAATTACGCGCGAGCGATAAGGATGGATGGCTTGGGGTCATTGGACAAAATTCTATGTGCTCACAGACCGGGCTTTAGAATGTCTCTAAAGATGCACGTCACATTCTCATTGAGATACATTTATAGATAATTATGGGTGCTTATTCGCAATAACAAGGGGCACGCTTTCATCAAAATATAGTGGGATTTGAGAGACGACGTTACCAAGGCCAGTATACAGAAAGCATGATAGGGTTAGATTTTTATGAGAAAAATCTTCTATAGAATATGACAGGAAAGTAGAACTTTTAATCTATATAAATAAAAATGGCAGGTGGCAGGNTCCTCTCTAAGGGCAGGTGTTTTTCCCTCTGTGTGGAAAGAAGCACGAATTGTACCGATTTTTAAATCAGGCGACGTCAGTTTAGTAAAAAACTACAGACCTATATCGATTTTGTGTCTATTTGGTAAGGTGTTTGAATCTATGGTATGCCCTTTTCTGAACTGGCATTTTAAGCAGGTAATCTGTCCTCAGCAGTCGGGATTCTTAACATCGCGGTCTACAGCCACTAATCTCGTTTCTTTTACAACACATACCTCTGATTCCCTTGATTCACGCTTGTCTGTAGATACCATTTACACCGATTTCAGCAAGGCTTTCGACGCGGTGGACCACGGCATCTTGCTTCACAAACTTTCACTCTCAGGAATCTCGGGTTGTCTCTTACAATGGTTGTCGTCTTATCTCAGTCAAAGAAAGTCGAGAGTCGTGGTAAACGGATTCTCGTCGGAGGCTTTTCTGGCTACATCAGGGGTTCCTCAGGGTTCTCATCTTGGGCCGGTTCTTTTTAATATTTTTATTAATGACATTGTGTCAATTTTCAGACATGCTAAATGTTTTCTATACGCCGACGATATGAAATTATCTATGGAAATTAAAGAGCATAGAGACGTACTCTTACTTCAAGACGATTTAGATCGACTCGCTCAGTGGTGCGTAAAAAACCAATTATTTTTAAATTCTGAAAAATGCAAGCATATCCGGTTTTCCAGGTGCAAAGATGTCTCAACGCCAAAGTACAATATTGATGGTCATATTCTGGAGGAAGTGGACACTATCCGTGATTTGGGAGTTATCCTGGACAAGAAATTACGTTACCATAAGCACATAGACCATATTGTCGCCAAAGGTTTCCAAATGCTAGGATTTGTACTCAGAAACACCAAGGAGTTTAAGAGGCCTAACACAAAGATTCTGTTGTTTCGATCATTGGTTCGTTCAAATCTTGAATATTGCACTCAGGTTTGGTCTCCCCACTACGATGTACATATTAAACGCATTGAACGTATTCAAAAGAGATTCCTGTGGCACCTCTCGTTCCAAACACATAAAGTGAAACAGCTTCCTTCATATGAGGAGAGACTAGCCCACTTTAAACTAGATAGTCTAAAGGACCGCAGGCTTTTGCTTGACCTGGTATTCCTTTATAAAATCATTAATTAATGGTATTGCGGACTGCCCATTTTTGCTAGAATTAATAAATCTCAATGTTCCCTTTAAATTGGCACGTCGCGCTAGGTATGTTCCGTTTTATATTAAAGGCTGCAAAAGCAATTGAGGTCACTACGCCACCATGAACAGATTCCAAAGACAGTTTAACAGTAAATCAAGGAACCTCAATCTTGATCTACATGTCTTTCGGGACAAGTTACCTTCATTTAAGCGCAAAATCCTAAACAGCTTCGCATCGAGTCGCTGGCGAAATGTTATTCCAGCTAAATAATACTCGCTGAAGAAACTCTTTTCTTTAAGTGTAGACACTGTTTATGTATAAGTCCACTATTGCATACCGTGGCAACCTATAATTAAGGCAGCACTTAGATTAAGTTAAATATGTTGTAAATATTGATTGTCTTCCAGTGTATGTCTTGTTGGTTGTCCTATTAAATAAATAAAAATAAAATAAATAAAATGAATTGATGTTCGTTAGTCTGATTAAAACTCGAGAACGGCTGGGCCGATTGAGCTGATTTTGGTTTTAAAATGTTTGTCGTAGTCCAGGGTAGGTCTAAACGGTGAGCAAATACGCGGGCGATATTGTTTTTCTGTGACAGACAAAATTTCACGCGGGCGAAGCCGCGGGCGGAAAGCTAGTTTTTAATAAATATTTGGACTCTATTTTAAAACTTCTCTTGTGAGAATGAATCTTAAATGGATGTATGGTATATTTTAATAATTAGAAAAAAAAGAAAGGAACAAAAAAAAATTGGCAACAAATTAAAATATCATCTCTATGTCCATGTTTCATATACATTCACTGATATGATATTTTCTATTTTTTACACATAAAAGCAAATTCAGATTTTTTTTGTTGTTATTTTTATTTCTGGGGATTCAAGCAATAAAAATAAGCTATGCATAACCCGTTTACGTGACAATAGATAGCAAAAGTAGTGTGATTAGATTAGTGTCTTTTAAAGAAGACCGCGTCAATAGATTAATAAAAATTTAAGATATGATAAGATACGATAAGCCGTTTTAATGCTATCCTATCTACATACCTACTACTGAAATTAAATAATACTCATATATAATAAGATTATTTTATACTAAAAAAAAAAATAAAGCATCAAGCAAGACCAATCTAGTCGCACTATCAGAGCCCCGATTACGGTAATTTTTAACGTCAACAATCCAGACACGCTTCTCGATTCTGCGATACGATTGGTCGTTCAACAGCGTACGTCAGCTGTTTTGACCAATCGTATTGCAGAATCAGAAACGCGTCTGGATTGTAGACGTTAAAAGTTACCGTAATCGGGGCTCAGGGTTGCTAGAACGACAGTGGTGCCACAAAATGTGGTGCTCGCTCTCATTTAATTTCTACTCTTTTATGTCGCACTGTAAATAGGTACGGCAAAGGTACAGCAGAGTTATTGTCTAAGTTCACAGATGAGGTAAACGAGCATTTAAACATTAAAAAAAAATGTAACATTAATGACTCTCTTTATTGATTTCTCACGCGCATTTGACACATTAGAACATAGACAACTAGTTCATAAGCTCGCAATACGCGGACTATTGCATAAATGGTGCGAGGACTACCTGAAAAATCGTAAATACTTTGTTAAAATTAACCAATCGTTAAGTGAATCTGTCGAGGCAACGGTTGGCACGGCTCAAGGCTCTGTATTAGGACCTCTTCACTTCTTGACATGAGCAATTGCCTCAGTAACTGTACTTGCTATCAGTTTGCCGACGATACGTGCCTTATCATTGCGGATAAAGACCCGCAAAAAGCTTGTGCGCTACTACAATCTGACCTAAATGCACTATTATCACAGAATAATAATAAGTATGCTATTACGATGGTATCACGATGCAGGTCTGGTAATTGACTGCGAAAAAATTAAACTCATGGTCATAAAATCTCCTTACATGAAACGAATACCGCCCAATCCCATAGTAGCTCATAACCACAACTGCCTGCATACATTAGTGTGTACATGCAGCTGCCCTCCGCTGGAGGTAGTACCTAAATAGCATAAGATACCTAGGGTTAATAATTATGATACTTTCAACTGGTCCAATCATGTTCAACACATTTGTAATAAATTAAGACAATTTTTGGCCAATATACCTAATAATTAAAAAAAAACGCATACCATTCAAAACTAAATTAATGTTGTATCACGCAATGGCTGATTCATATATTCAATATGGCCTATGTAGCTATGGTCGTACGTACAAATCATACCTCGAAAAAATATACATAATAATAATATAAGCTTCAAGTAAAAATTTAAAAAAATATAGTTTCTGTTAAAATTAAAAACCAATTTCTAGATGACGATATTAGCTTATTTCAACATTGCAAAATCTTACCCATTCATTCACAATTTAAAAACGTTTTTCTTAAACAATATTTCTTCGAAGAAATGCTACGAGAACAACGCGTTCACCCTGTATTCACTCGGGCAGTCGCTGCGGGCCGGCTGTGCACACGCCGAGCAAACAATACCTACGGCACGGCAGGCGCACAGCGGCGACGTATTTGTTACCGCGATTATTTAACGAGTTACCCTCGGAACTTAAAAATAATATAACGCCAATTAATATTAAACAAAATTAAAACGGATTTGCTTCTGAATATGAAATAAATGAGATGTCAACATATCGGGTAATGTTTAGATTAGGGATGATTAAAAGGACTTCTTGGCGGGAATCTGAAGCGTCATGTTAGCGGTTTTGTTTTATTTCCTCAAATTCGTGTTTGGGCGACTATTAATGTGTAATAATGGTGGATTATTAACTATTGAGTGTTCGTGAACGTGCATGAGTGTGGGCGAGTGAAGCAAAACAGTGCATCGTGATTCTTCGGGTTCTCTCAAGTTGTCCATAGGAGGTCTCAGTAAAGCACCACAACTTTACTGAGACTCAAAGGGTGGGAAGGGGTATCATCTATCATCCTTCATTATATCATTACTTGATCTCATTTTGTAACTCGTATCACATAAATACTTGAAAATGGCACAAATCAAGACGACCTCGACGTGTATTGCCAACATCATCAAAAAAGAAGAAGAAGAAGGGATGATGAAAGTCATAAAATATTGTAAATTAATTGTAATTATTATTGTAACCATAAGTATCGATGTAGAACTGCAACAGCATCAACACAAACCTTATTGGTTTCCTGAATGCTGTCAAAACAAATTTTGTCTGTAATTCTTTTTATTTGGTAAATAAATGAAAAAAAAAAAGATATGTAATTTTTTTCTTACTGGAAATGAAAGAGGGAAAATCGTAGGTTCAATCCCGCCTTAGGCAGTTCGATGTTTTCAAGTTACGAGTATTTATAATACAGGGTGGCCCAGAAGAAAATTCACTTTTGAAAATTTAAGGAAACGAGAACTGTACATTTTTGTAGAACTTTAACTATTGCAATTTAAAAGAAACTTTATGCAATTTATTTTTAAATTTACTTTTTTTTTAGATTTGATCGTACATGTGATTCCCTTGACGTTTACAACATTCGGTCAACATACACAAAAATCTTGGAAAACTTTCGTTAGAGTTACCTCGAAATGGATTCAGGATGGATGAATGCTGCAGAGTTTTTGTATTATTAGAGTATACTCTGCTCATAAAAGGTAACCCCAAAAAAAGAAGTCTGCTGGAATGAGATTAAGGCTTATTGGTGGCAATGAGATTTCACTCCTGCTTAATTGGTTTGTTGCATTGAAAGGATGATTAATTTTTAAGAGCATTAAACTGGCATGCTGAAAAGCTTTTTGATTTAAAAGTGGCAAGATTCGCAAGGCTATGACAGGAGCACTTGGTTTCATCAAGATGGGGCTACGTGTCACACTTTAAATGAGAACATTTAGATGGTAAGAGACATGTTCCCACAAAAAAATAATTTCAGGCAAGTGTGACATCTCCTGATCTCCTCAATTTTTTCCTTGAATTTTCAAAAGTGAATTTATTTCTGGGTAACCCTGTATAATTTTCAAATTAGTTTGAGATGCAACTCTTAATGCTAAATATTAAATAACTAGGTAAATGATAGTAAGGTAAGTAAAAAGAAAATTGAATGCAGAAGTCAATGTAAGTTTTCAGCAATTTTCATCACATTGGTTCCCCATTTTGAGTATTTTATATTAATGTTTGTCTCATAAATTCTCCATTTGGGTAGTCCGTTCCAATGTTTGTTTTACAATTCTTTTCTTTTTCAAACATCACGTTTGTTGATCGTCATCATTCTTCGAGCGCATCGTATCATTTCTAGCTCATGTGTAAACGAGGCCTAAATTCAAATCAGTCGTAACGGAAACGTTCCGAAGACGAATGCACTGACTGCATGCTTGCACTTTACGCGTGAGTACCCGGAACATTTTGAATTTCCATTACACAGGATGGATTGAGTTGAGATTTACATTTTGGAAATGACACTTAAAAATCGATTCAGGGTTAAGCTGAAAATAAATTCACGCTATTACCAAATAATAATAATAATTAAACCAATTCAATTCAATATGATCGATCATACGTTTTAATTTAGATTCTCTGCTCTAGAAATCTAAGACTAAAATTCCATTACCTCATTACCTATACAAAATTAATTAAATGCGAAATTAACTCTATCTTTTACGCTTTCAATTATTTACCTACTTATGATGACGCCTCAACCACTGAAATGATTTAGATGAAATTTGGTAGACATAGTTTGAGCCCAGGAAAGGATCAACCTTTCCTGAGCTCCCGGTTTTGAAACAAGTAGGTACGCGAGAGATAAAGATTTTCTGAGACAGACAAAATTTACGCGGGCGAAGCCGCGGGCAATAACTTGTTAACTACATATTCAGTAGACATTAAATTCCATAAACGAAACCTTTCACGAAAGCTAATAAAACGATGAGCAAACATTTCACTCGGCACAACCTAATGCAAAAGCTCCCCAAACCAGTTACTGCAAGTGTGTACGGCTATTTACAATGCAGTTCCTGCATAAACGAAAGTGAACTATGACGCAGTGAGAGTTACGGAAAAAGCATGTTTCCAAGACTGCGCACGCGACCAATACGTTTCCTAGCTGCGCGCGCGCCGGTCGCGTCGTCACTGGCCGTTTTTGAAACCAATGTGAAAAGAAGAAAAAAAAAATGAAAACGAAATCGCTCACGTTTTCAAATTTGGAAGACGAGGCGGGGGAAGCCCTAGATCGCATGTTCAAGAAAAAAGATTGTATGATCCTGGTGGAGCCTAGTGGTGCGATCCTGCCAGCTGAGTTTAGGGAAATTGGTGAGGACATATTGGGAGTGGAGGTCCGGGAGGATGACGTGTGGATGTGCTCGTATCCTAGAACTGGTAAGTTATAATTAAGCCTAGGCGCAGACCAGCGACTTTTAGTTGGCCGATATTGGGTCGGGCTGTTAATCAGTACGGAGATGTATGAAAGTGCGAACATCACACCGATTTGGTATCGGCCGATTCTTCATACAAATTAGAATCGGGCCCAACTATCGGCTAGCTAAAAATCGGTGGTCTGCGCCTAGACTTATGCAACTGTAAATTTAAAATTCATAATTTTACAAATCAAATCAAAAATATTTATTAAATGGCCAGTTCTTTGGCACTTATGAACGTCAAAAATAATTAAAAGCAACGATAGCCCTTTAGAATAGCAACCCCTCATTTAAGTTTTTTTATTGTTCTTCTTTAGTTTCACGCTCTCTGCGGCTATCTTTTTTATAAGACTTTTCGTAGGTGCTATATCGGATCTATTCGACCCTTTGTCTAGCTTTCCCGGGGTGCGTTATGGGGTCGAAGAGACCTGTTCGACTTAATCACCCTTTTATGTAAATAATTAGTGTATTCTTTTTTATAGTAACGTGTTCTTGAATAACTGAACAACTTTCAGTTGCGGTAGGATTATGAATCTGTCTAAAGCAATGTAAATAAGTAAGTTATGTAATTAAATTAGCACTAGTAAGTAAGAAAATTTTAGTGATGTAACTAGAACGTCTGTATAAAAGTCGATGCACAGTGTGTCTGGTCACCGGTGTCCGACCCGTTAGGGCGCAATTGTGATCAATTTTATGGATAAATCCACTGGAATGAAACATTTTATCCCTACTTTGAAAAAATTGCAGCTAATTATTTTTTTTGGGTTTCTGAGTCCGGGTGGATTAATTTATTTAGCAATATCTACCGATGTACAGGGCCTATAAGCAAAAAAGTGTATAAGTAGACATCAAAAAAATTATAAAATACTCCCATTAAAATCTTTAAGAAACACTTGAAACGTAAAATAAAAATAAAAATGATGCTTTTTCGTACATTATTCAATGTTACAAAAAAACTGGAACGTGAACATACATTTTTTTCCACTTTTTAGTTACTACACCATTACCTAAAAACTGAATGATGTAGGTAATAATACTTTAGCTTTAAGTCAACTAGTCTGGGCGTAGTAGTAGAGTACTTATTATTATTCTGTGGTAGTAGTAGCTATTATCAGGATGAATTCTCGTTTGATAGAGTCATATTTAATTAATCATAACGCCGTTGACGGCTGAATTTGGATTAAGATTGAATATAGAAATCCAGCATTAGTGAGCATTATTTACGCTGCACCGAAAACTAGATGCATTTAAGGTTGATTCGACCCGATAACGCAATGGTAACACGTTTTCTTTTAAAAATGAGACATTGAAAGTTTATCGTTATCATTATAACATGTCTGTACCTAATCCCTATCAATCTATAAATAAAAATGCATTTCATTTGATAAAAATCTGTTATGGATAAAATGCATTTCAAAAATTTTATATAACTGAAAATTTTATTCTACGTAGGTTCAACATGGGCTCAAGAAATGGTCTGGCTGGTTGGTCACGATTTGGACTATCAAGGCGCTAAATCAATACAACAAGTAAGTTTCACTTCCTTCTTGTTTTCATATACTAGAGTAATTTTAAACAAGCAGATTGTAGGAAACTAAACTTTAAAGCATAGGCTTATGTAGGAATTACATCATCTAGATTATAATTACGTAATATTATTACATTTTCATTGTAGGTACCTACTTAGACTATCTTAAAACTTGAAGCACTTTAAGCGACCGCTGTACGAGCTTTGTATTTTGTAGCGTCGCGCTACGTTGTCAGTGACTAGAGTTAGAGACAAGTCGGTGGTTATTAAGATAGAATGAAGGATAATAATTATAAATAAATAAAACTAAGTTTTCAGTGACTGAAAATAAAGGAAATGTATCTGATATGGAATAAGTAAAAATTGTAAAGAATATAACTTTATAAAATTGCGGGTATTGTAATGTTATTCAAAGTTTCACCATCATCATCAGTCATTTAGCTCTACTGCAGGAACACGACCCTCCCTAATATCGAGGCAAATGAGTCATAAAGTATCAAGTAATAATATTATATTAGCAAATATTAACATACATTCCAATGTGTCAAATTAAATCAGTTTATTAGCATAAAATGACCGAACTGTCTGTCTGTTAACTTGCAACGTTATCGTTAATCATTGTACACACGATAGCACATCACATTTTTGTTACAAACTCGCCCCTATTACAACTGCACAAGAACCCACAGTGGTTACGTTGTCGTGCCGTCGTCTGTACAATAAATCTTTAACCCTGGTGCGTTTGCGCAAGTGGCCAAACTGCGTTATGTAACGTCAGTTAGATCCACCTGATGCACCGGCTTCCTGGAGAAAGGGCCTTTGTTACATACTTACTGAGGAAAACTTTTTACAGCATGGAAATTTAAAAAAATATCTTTAACTAGCTTTTTCCCGCGACTTCACCAGCGTAAAATTCAGTTTGTCTGCATGGACTACGTCAAATATTGAAATAAAAAATAAAAACGTTTTGCTCTTAAGGAGCCTATACAGGTCTTATAATCTTTTTGCTCTACCAGCGCTTCGAGGCCAACATTTAGCAATCCTTAACTGTTCCATCTGCCACCAGATCCGATGTCCGCTGGTGGAGCTATCCTGCATCTTGGTGGACGGCCACCTGGAGTGGGTCAACGAGTCCGTGAAGGGCACCTCTGTGGACCTGGTCAAACACCGGCTCCCCCACCCTCGTTATGTTCGAAGTCATCTGCCCTTCCCGCTGCTGCCCAATGATATTGAGAGGGAGGATGGCTCGTTGAAGGCTAAGGTAAGGAAATAGCTCATAAGATAGTCCCCTTAATTGATGATTATTGTCATCGGTGCATATATTTTCATAAAGGTTGCAAAACCTTTGTTTGTCACCTGTCATCCGCTTTGCAATGTTCTACTGATTAATTTCGTTGCGGGTTCAATGACAGTTTAACTTTCCCCCTGGGACACACTTGACCTCACTGGTTGGGTTTTTACTGGCGCTCAAGCTGTAGATCCTGGCTACACAGGAGTTGTAGCGGTGGGAGCGAGAGGTGGGAATAGTCCCGTAAGGTAAAGAAAGAAAGAAAGAAAGAACAGGAGTTTATTATTGGTCATCATCATCATCATTTCAGTCATAGGAACGCTGCTGAATATCGGCCTCCCCCAAGATTTCCATAATGATTGGTAGCAACCTGCATCCAGCGCCTTCCTGCTACGTTTAAGAGGTTGTCGAATGTCAGTCCACCTTGTGGTTGGATATCCTACGTTTCTTTGTTACCAAATGACAAAATAATGAAAAATTTGAAAAAAAAGACTATTATTGTTTAACACAAATTATTTGTTTTTTTTTTTTAATTGCATTATACACTTACACAATGGTTCACATATTTTTATGAATCTCTTGTTTTTGTGGAACTTTCCCCCCCCAAGCAGTGCGCAGTGTATTGTATAGTATAATTTGAATATTAAGTGAGTGCATTATTATAAGGTGGATTCAGAAAACCAAGTGTGAAGGAAGGAAAAACGTATGATATAGCATCCAAACTAGGAGTCTGAATAATTTTCTAGCGTCCTGCATGGCCAATATAGAGATTAGTCTCACATCAACTATTACAAACCAGAAGTCTCTCAAGGAGGAATTTTCTAGCGTCAGACTCTAAGATAAATAAGACCCTAAGATAAAAAAGAACAGCAGTCTTAGCGTCAACTCTATAGTTACGTTGTATGATAGCGTTAAAAATGTCTCTTTGCCCAGGTCATCTACACGTCGCGCAACCCCAAAGACATGGTGGTGTCGTACTACCACTACTGCAGCCTGGTGCACGGCCTGACGAGCACCTTCGAAGAGTTCTGCGAACTGTTCATGAAGGACCGAGCGCCCATCGGGCCGGTCTGGAGCCATATTTTTGGTATGGGAATACTTTTATATTGCATTGACAAAGACAAGATTTTTCAGGCTTGTACCACCTTGTGAGTATTTTATCTTGTGATGAGTTACATTAGGTGATTATTACAGACGAAGTAATAAGATGTCTGCATTCAATGATGCACGACATTGCAAAAGAAATACTGCTTCAAGACAATAAATTTTAGTTTTGTTGCAATGAAGCAGCAGCAAAAATTAATATTATCGGCATCGATTTCAGGATTATAATTTATAATATAAAATCACAATCATTTAATAACTACTCTACAAATTCACTAATACAATTAATTAGGTACTCGTATTATTTTTGATTGATATCAATTTAGTGAACATTATGCTTTGATATTACAATAAATCTATACTGTCATATTCTGTTAAATATACAAACTTTCTTTCGCGTACTTAATTCAATTGATATTGAATAAAATACATAATATTATAAAATATGGGTTGATTACTTACGATTGTCATAATTATTTATCACTGATATGAACCTCCTCTGTTGCAAATTGTCTATGGTACTTTAAGAATGATACAAGTGACATCTTTGTGGAAAATATCTTGATCTTAATTAACAGAAATGTAGCTCATTTATTAAGTTGAATAAAGCCTAGTTTCTGAAGGCCGTATCTTTTCATTTGTAACAATTTATTCAACTTAATTGTGACAATGTCTCATAACGAAACTGTGTCGTCGAGTTCCATCACGAGAGGTTCTCGTTATTTAAATCCGGAAAAATTTTCAACGGATCCAAGTACGCCCGGTGCAGAGCTCCAATGGAGTCATTGGCTGCATACATTCCAAAACTTCATATCAGAAGAGATAAGTAACGCTAGTCCTGACTTAAAATTAAAGCTACTTATCAACTATTTGGCGCCTGGAGTCTTTGCTATAATAAAAGGATGTGCCAGTTATGACGAAGCAATAGAATTACTTAAAAAATCATACGAGAAACCTCGGAATCGTATTCTGGCTCGGCACATCCTCTCAACAAGACAGCAAAAGCCTGAGGAATCTATACGTGATTATGTTCGTGCCTTGAAACTGTTAGCCCAAGATTGTGATTTTCACGCTGTGACTGCCGAACAAAATCAAAACGATTTCATGTGTATTGCATTCATATCGGGTATCAACTCTCAAAGAATCCGTCAAAGACTGTTGGAAAATTTGACATTGTCATTCGATGACGCACAGAACCAGGCACTGACACTTGAAACCGCCGAAAAAAGTTTGCACTCTTTCTCAATTTCATCTAATCCGACCTCATTGCTTAACGCTATACCGGTTCAACCAGAACAAGAAAAGGAGGTCGATGATAATTTAGCCGCTGTTAATTTCGGTCATAAAAAACGTCGATGTTTTTTTTGCGGTGGTAATGTACATCAACGTATAAAGTGTCCTGCGTTTCATTCGCAATGCCAATTATGCTCCAAGAAAGGACATTTTGCAAATGTATGTCGGAGCAGTGGTGGAACGAGTCCTAAAATGAATGCTGTAACTCAAGATACACCTACGGAGGCAGCGTCGGTAATTGCAGCCGCTCCAGGAAGTCTGCGAAAAGCGACTATCCCCATAACTATTAACGACTACCTTGCAGACGCACTCGTTGACACAGGAAGTTCAGTAAGCTTTATTGACAAAGGTTTGGCTGAAACATTAAAACTAAAGAAGAAACGTTGCAGTCAGTCTATTACACTAGCATCGCTAAGCCATACCTAAGTAGTGATGGTGAGAGACATGAGAAAATCATTGGTCTTTGCCAATCATGTACTTTGGGCTTTGTGGCAGGTTGTGGCGAGATTAAACGCTTTGTTTAAAATCTCAATTAAAACTTTTATCTGATTCCGATATTACGATATTGGATCGCTCAATATCGGAATTGAAATATCGGATCTGGCAGTCCGAGATTCCGATATTACGAGATTCCGAGATTCCGATATTCATGCCCTATTACTAACGGCGTAGCCGCTTTCCAGCGAACACTAGAATTCATCATAGAAAAGGAAAATTTAGTTGGAACCTATGCTTATCTCGATGATGTGACCATCTGTGGCGTGACTAAGGCCGAACACGATAAAAACCTTAATGCCTTTCTACAGGCGGCTGAAAAATATAGACTTACATTGAATAAAGAAAAGTGCACCTTTTGTTCGGAAACTNTATAATATACATTAAGAATATGGTCTCAATGTACTGCCTACCTTCAGTGGTAACATCAAGGTAATAATTAGTCAACTAAAAAGCAAGAAATAAGTTAAATTTTATAAAAAGGAAAACTTTACATGTTTCATAATCTTGGCACCGACTCCAGAAGTATCAATCATGGTATACCTACATAAATATTAATAATTCGTCCTAATAAATAAGTAGGTAATTAGTAATTATTATTCTGCTTTTTAGTGTAGGTTTTTTGGAGTCGGTTTTCTTATCAATGCCAGTTTTCATAGCAAAATAGCCTATTATAACGAGATAAGACACTACTTTGGAGGAGGCCTATGTTCGATATGACGTCACGACAGCCAGGTGCGCAGTTAACTCGATCGGGTCGTAACGAATAAATCCATCCAGCACATTAGACTATACATTTTCATTACAAAATAGCCTGTATTACAACGAGCTAAGAAACCACTATGTTCAACTTGATGTGCTGTCGTTTTACAATAGACCACTTACTGGTGAAAAGGCATGTTAGCGCGGTCCAGCATAAACATGCAGGCTGGTAGCACCACCGCGTCGAACTGGCCGAAGAACCACGGCTTGCCTCTGGTGGTCTTGATGGGGCCCACCCACACCTTGCCGACGTCGTTTAGCACATACTCCTGGAGGAGGGTGCAGTCCTCCATGTAGGTTTGGTCATCTGAAAGAAGAATTATGGTGATGAGAAGATGCGACTAATAATGTTCCGTTGTCTGACTGATATTAACAAACAAGAAGGTTAGAATTGAAGATTCCTTAGGTATACGAAGTTGTAAATAGAAATTGTCATAAAAAAACGCAAAACTGGCTAATAGGAAACATAATAACTTGAACCTGCTCAATTTATACTGTTTTATCTATGTTAGTTAGGTCCGTCGTGCCAAAACATGATACCCAATTGCTATTTTGAAATGATAGACCATCATTAAATAAATTACTCTTAATTTGAGAGAACCCAATTTAACAAGAAAAAATAATTTGTCCCAAGTGGTGCAAAGATTGCGATTTGCGAGAGGCAGTGCAGCGTCATGCCGACCTTTACGTTAAAAGCGACGAGATAAAATCCTTCTTATCACTTTCGAGGTATAATGCTTCTTATTGAACACGAGAGCTCATCGCATCTACTTAATATAGTAGACATAGGAAAGTTATCGCTAATGCCAATCAAGGAGCAATGGCACGTAGTGGTTCGTTTCAGCCAAATGACGTCCACTGCTGGACAAAGGCCTCCCCCAAGGTTTTCCACAATGAACGGTCCTGCGCTGCCCGCATCCAGGCTCTTCCCGCGATCTACACCAGATCTACCTGCCCACGCTACGTCTTCCAGCCCGTGGTCGCCACTCGAGAACTTTCGTAGAGGTAATTAGTTATTTTGTAACTTCTTCACCGTGGCATACTGCATTCCAGTAAGTTATTCTGCAATTTCTTTAACAGATTATATTCTTACCAGCATTCCACGGGTTGAACAGGATGTACAGGTCCTGGTCGAAGTCGTAGATTTCGCGGGCAGTGGAGTTCTTCATCCTGGTAATGACTCGAAGGGCCCAGTTGCCGATCGGCAGGGTCACTGGAGTTGACACCTAAACAGGTAAGATGATTGGAATAAATTAATAAGCACCAATCACAGTAAGAGGACTCAGATTTTTTGCTCAAGACAAACACTTGCGCCCGTATTCACAAACATTACTATGAGGTCTCACAGTGCGCGTGGACGCACAGGGTGACACACGAACCAATAACAGAGCTCTATTCAACGCTGTGCGTTCCATTTGCTGCTTCTCTTAAGGCCGGGTAGCAGAGAAAATGGCGAAAATGAGGTTTTCATTTTTCATTTTTGAGGTAGTAAACAGTAAAATTAAAGGCTAAGATTTTTATTGGGCATAGTTGAGGATATTTTCTAGGGCTATTAACGGATGGAAACACGATTTGATTAAGTTGACTCGATAGAATAAATTCCCAAAGTTACCTCTATTCGTTTTCTAATTATGGTTTTATTTTTAAAATAAGCGATTTGAGATTCTAAANCATAAGTATTTCAAAATAATTTATTATTTAAAAAGTGTAGTTTTTTTTTATTATTTAAATCACTACAGTTAATCAGTATTCCTAAATATTAAAATTTTTCATTAAAGAAGAATAACAGTGCTGTTGGAACAATAAACCTTGATTGCGACTATGATCGACCGAGCGTGTATAGATACGCGTGTGCAAACAGGCGCGTGGCGGCCCGGACTGATTTGCAACTTGAAGTTGTCGCGCGCTGTAGGTAATTATCTCGGCCGACATAGGCGAGTGACGGAGGCCTGTAGGTAGTAACATTATGAATAGAAAATTCGAATAATAATTATCAACATTATGAACATAACTCATTTTAAGTTCATTAGTCTAGTCGCTAGGGGCGCTGTTAACCTTGCTATGCTTATTTACTAATCTCATCAAAATATTGATTAAACATGATATGAGTTTCATAAAAATTGTCATACATTTATTTTGGAAACCAAAAATCTGTCGTAAGAGTTTTTCGGCTATAGCTTTAGAACTCGCCTGAAAAAAATCTCTCTTTGACAACTTGCAAAATAATATAAAAATGCTTTGAAACAAACTGGTATAAGCAACTTATGAAGGCGTAGAAAGTCGCAGGCATATCAAACTTTACGCTTTAGTTCTAAAATATCACCTATTGCAACGTTCATAAGATGCAATATAGTTTAGCTTGATACGCCGTCGTCCGTCCATACTGACTATGACATACAAAACATATGTACATTATTCACATTATATTTTAATCTCTTTGGACCTATTAAATTAAAACAATAATAGTAAGAATAGTAATTAACTAATTATTAATAATACTCTTACAGGCTTAATACCTTATTTCCTACAATAACTGGAGTGCGTAAAAAATAAGTATAATAGCACAAAAATAATTTATTTAGCTAACAGTTTAAAAAGTGCAATTTAATATCCCTGCATTATTATTGCATTTTATGCATGCAAGTATGTATTTTAATTTTTAGTGCTAATATACATTGAAGATACAAAATACAATGTACAGCTAACTGTCACTAGGTGGCAGTAGTAAAAAATATACATTAAAATATCGTTTGTTCTGTGCACGATATTATTTTTCAATGTGATACATTTTAATTTCTAATGACGTTATTCACGACTAAAACTATTGTGGGTACTTTGTATTTAAATAATTTAATTTAACCCAACAAATACATTGAAGTGTAATAATTAATAATAAGTTTGATAATAATTGGGTATAACTTAACACCATTCCAATATTTTCAAGGCACAAACCCTATAAAAATAATTTAATGTAAAATTATTGTTTACGTAGCTATTTATGTATAATTGCTTTTAATAAAATAGCTAAGTAGTTGTTTTTTGATGGACTTATTTGCGTAATATTCCTCGACACCAAGAATCATCATCATCATCATTTCAGCTACAGGACGTCCACTGTTGAACATAGACCTCCCCCAATGATTTCCACGATGGCCGGTTAGTAGCGGCCTGCATCCAGAGCCTTCCTGCTACCTTTATGAGGTCGTCGGTCTACCCTGTGGGTACGTGGCCTCCACTCCTAGAATCACATACTCAAAATAAAAATAATCACATTCGTGAATAACGTCTAAAGTGAAGAAACATTAAAATATTTTACAATATTCTATTTTAATAGAATCCACTGTCACACAGCGTCAATATTTCCATATTTTAATTATTTTTATTATAATCCCCTTCCTTTCTATTGTCAATGCGTAAAGCTCTGCTTTTTATAACTTTTCTAACATTTGGAATATTCTTTGGGATGTTATGCATCTGAGATCTATTGTTATAATAATTATTTTTAACAATAAATAAACTTCTAATTACATTGTAAAATACTATAAAAGTAGATAATCTGAACAGCTATATTTAGTGATTAAGTACAATTATAAGTAGAAGACTAGAAGAATTTTTATGAATTCTGTTCCCACACAACAGTTAAAGGTTGCTATGTAAGAATGTACGATATACGATAACTTTTCAAACTATTTAGATATCTCTCGTAAATATTTATGTACTTAATATCTTTAGAATTGAGTATTCATCAAATGTAGTATATTCTGAATAAATCTTTATTAAATTTACGTATAACTTTTTTTCTCAATATTTTTTTCTAAAACTTGGCATTAATTGTCTACACAATTACAGTACATTTTTGCTGCAAAATCGCACTTATTTCAATCAAATAAGATGCGACAGGTTTAGCTCGATGTGCTGTGTTCCCTAAAAAAATAAAAAACTATATTATCTTTTGGGGTTTAATCTTATCACAATGAAAAGAAACCACAGGTTTCACAAGGAAATCGAAATTTTTCTTACAAAGTCCTACTTGCCAGTTTTTCGTACCTATCTCAGTGAACACCTATTCTAGATTACATTATGAACATTCAAATTGAAACCTTAAATTAACCGACAGCTAGAGTTATTTTTATGTCTCACGTGGGGATTTCCGAACGCACCACAGCACTGGTGGTGGTTGACATTTTTGGTGTGGTGGTGGCCGTGTGGTAGACTTTGTTGACACTTGTCTTTGACTTCTTTTGTCTTCTGGCACTTCTGGTGGCCGGGTGCTATTCTGGCTTTGAAGCGGCCTACTCGGCCAGGCTTCGAGTGGTTCGCTTCGATGGTGTCGGATATGGTGCAAATGTGGGGCTGGTTGTCCATGTGAGCGTCTTGGTATTCGGCGTCTGTTTCTGTAAAGAGGTAGAAGTAGTTAAGTAATGATAATGTAAATATGGCCTGTGATGAGTGTGCATGTTGCGTACGAATTTATCCTCAAGTTAAAATACCGTTCCTTAGGCCCGATTCGACCAAAATTGTATTTATTTATTTTATTGGGCTATCAACATGAGATACAGTATTATACACAATAAAAAAATAAACAATTAAGCCAAAGGTCTCTAGCTAACTGCTTTATCCGAGAATAACTCCTGGTATAACTGGCACATTGACAGTTTCAGTATGGCTAGTTAGTTAAAACTGACGATTTATTCTGAGACTAATATTTACCCTTGTTTGGTCGGATCCACCCTTAGTAATCATTTAAATTCACGCATACTGGCTAAAAAAAACTCTTTCCTTATTCACACAGTTGCCAAGCACAGTATTAAATATTTTTGATTTTAAAATATTTTTTTTAATAAGTAGGTACCTAGGTATCTCTCGTTCTTAAGACACTTATGAGCAAAACATGAGGTATGTATAGTACTAGTACCATGTAGTACCTACTTATGTAGAGGTTTTCAACTTCTAATGCTTCAACCACACCAACGCGTGCAGATTGCCATCGCTAGCGCGATCATAGGCCAATGACAGGTCACGCGGACTGTCATGGGTCGCGCGACCTGTCTTGACCTTATGATCGCGCCGGCGATGGCGATCTGCACGCGTTGGTGTGGTTGAAGCTTCAGGGGGACAGCTGCCCTCCTCAGCCTATCCTCGGTACGCCCACGATTGTGTACGTACCCTGCAGTTCCTCCCTGCTCTGGCTAGGGCTCGTGGAGGTGGTATCCAGCCGCAGCGTGGAGCAAGAGTCGCCGACCACTGTCGGAGGCGCTGAGTGCGACGGAGACATACGAGCTAGACACTGGAAAACAAAACATAGGTCATCATTCTTGCCAAGTAAATACTGCTGGACAAAGGCCTCCCTCAAGGATTTCCATAACGACCGGTCTTTTGCTGTCAGCATCCAGGTTCATCGACTATAATATCCTTAGCAACACGCTTAGGCTGAGTTGCACCAACTAACTTTAACAGTAACTATAACGATAACCGGTATTTTTGTATGGAGTTTGACAGATTTTTGACGTTTGTTAAAGTCAAAGTGAGATGGTGCAACCTAGCCTTAGTATGCTGGGTTGAAGTGATGCAACATAATCCACAATCATCTCTACTACCAGTTCTGTTTAGAGTAGATAAACAACAGTAGATATAACAGTCCAATATTGTGTGTTTTTTGTGGACAGTGAATGGATTTATAAAGATTGCCTTTTGACGGATTTTTCATCATCAACAGCGACTTTCTTTGGGATACCACACCTTCATCAAATACTATAAGTCTGGAAATAAAATAACAACTTTCTTTTAAATAACTCACAGCCTTTTCCACGAAGCTGTCCTGTTCCCTCTCCTTGGTCGCCGGCGCCGTGCCCACTCTGCAAGGGGATGTTGCACTGTAACTTGAAATATTACCGCACCTATTACATCTCTATGGACAGAAACGGCACTTTTACCCTAAAAGGCTTTAAATTCCTTGTAGTAATATCATCACTCTATCAGTCAATGTTCAAGCTAAAATTAGTGATTCCAGCATTATCTCGAGAGATGGAATGTGTTTTCTATTTAGGTACATATTACATACAAAATATACAGATTATTACAGAGTACAGCGTCAATGTTAAATATGTAGTTCGTGACACCCAAAGTAGCCATTAAATTCGCAACACGTCTTTGTTACAATTTAAGGTTGTTTTGACAACTTTATGTCTACTTTGTGTGTTACGAACTATTTGACGCTGACTTTACCTATAGAGTAAAAACAGAATGCTGTTGAAACATTGTTAAACAAATAAAATAAAAATACACAATTTAATGAAGGTATAATAATTATTATCATTATAAAAGTCATGTCACTTCCACAAGTAAAAGTGCTGAACATTGCATTTCAAATTACCAGAAAGAGGAATCCAGGCTGTCTTTGACCGGTTCCACAGATTCCGCATCTGTCCACACTACTCCATAGCTCGTCGATCTGGAATCTGAAATTAATCATCCGACTGATGACTACATTAGAATTATTTATAATACACTTTCAACCCATAAAATTATCTTCTTTCATAGGTACCTCGATCCTTCTCTGTCCTATTTGGTGAATTCGCTATACTTCTCCGCGCTACGTCTTGGAAAGTGACAGGGGAATACATTCGTCTCTCTTCCACTGGTGACGTCACTGTTGGCGCAGGAGTGTTGGCTCTCTGCACTTGCGGACTCTTCAGAGATGACTGATTTGATGGTTGTACTGCTATGACATTCGGAGTGTTATTTCCCAAGGAGTTTGGTCCTGAACTGATTGCATTGGGAAGGTGAGTGAAATTTCCAGAATTTAGTTCTTTTATGTTCATTTGTTGGGCAGAATGTTCTGCTATGCTGTCCCTAACGTCAGCTGCTCTTTCCCATTCTAATTCTGTTCCAGGCTGTAGTTGAGGCGATATCATTTTGGTGAGGCACGGCCTTGATTCCCTGCCTTCCAGCCAGTATGTTTTCATTGCCCCTGAAAAGTATTATTATGAAAATAATGTTTCAAAACTTTTATGAAGTTCTGACGCAAATAACAGTGATTTAGGTTAGAGACAAACTAAAGCAATGTTTGCAACAAAATGAAGGAATAATACTTTTTTGAACTACCCACCCTTACCTTTCCCCTTAACCTGTATCTCTCCTCTCTCATGCACCATGTAGGATGGTGAGAGCAGTTCCCTCGTGGTCTGTGATATGTGGATCCTCATAGCTTCTGACGTTGATTCCATCCTCGAAGCTGTGTTCACTGAATCTCCGAAGAGGCAGTAGCGAGGCATCTTCAGGCCGACTATACCAGCCACTACTGCACCTGAGTGAACGCCGACTCTTATGGAGAGATGAGAACCTGAAAAAAATAATTACTTAATGTCTCCGAGATCTAGTGATTGAGAATTTAAGAGAGTTGATTTTTCGCTCTAAAATCCTGGGGCCAATCAGCAAAATATTACATAAATAAAATATTGGGTTTTAGGTAAGTGGATATTACAGGCTTGCATTAACCTGATTCTTTAAAGGGCACCTGACCTGAACCTATAGAGGACATAAATCTGTCGATCTTATTAAGAAATAACAGCCGTCTGCTATTCAGTTCTTAAAGTATTTACTGTGACTTCAGTTGTTACATAGCCACACGACATCAGATCAAGAACCAGAAAGATCAGTGGCGGTGGTTCCAATTTAAAGGAATTTTACAATAAATTTTCGCTATACCTGTACTGGGATCTTTAAGATCAGTGATCGCGTCGACCATGTCAAGTGCCATGTCGCAGACTTTCTCAGCATGATTGTCCTCTTTTTCTGGTGCCCCTGATACCACCATGTATGCGTCTCCTATTGTTTCCACCTGTGGAATTAGTTTTGGTGTAAAGTTTTTGTTAACTATGATTTATAAATTTTATGGAGGTTAATTTGATATCTTTTGTAACCGAGTGAACTTTCCCATACAAGAGCAATGTCGCTTCGGTGCAAGTCTTTTACAATCGTCTGAATATTGTTTTTTTATAATTCAGTAAAAGGTGGTTTAATTGAACTTAACTTTAAGGAACTATCGACATAAAAGTTTTTCATAGTTAACACATCCTGAAAGACTTGCTAGATCTACATCGGTAAAAATGGTCCTTCGAGCCGGATTACCTTGTACACCCTGTTCCTCTCAGTGAGCGTGTCGAAGATAGAGTACATGGCATTCAGCATGGAGACCACTTCCATTGGCGTGATGCGGGAACAGATCTCCGTGAAGGTGACCACGTCGGAGAACAGGATCGAAACGCTGTCGAACATCTGCGGTTGTACACGAAATACCACTTATTCGGGGTTTATTTTGGTTAATTAAGTTCTATGAACAAGTTACGTTTAGTTACTTACGCCCGTATCCACAAACATTACTATGAGGTCTCACAGTGTGCATGGACGCACAGGGTGACACACGAACCAATCACAGATCTCTTTTCAACGCTGTGCGTTCGATTTACTGCTTCACTTAAGCAAGCATCCTTTGTGAATACGGGCGTTTGTTACTTAGGCTGAGTTGCACCACCTTATTTTAACTGTAACAGTAATGATAACCGGTGTTTTTCTTATGGAGTTAGACGGATTTTTGACGTTTGTCAAAGTTAAAGTAAGATGGACCCAACCCAGCGTTAGTGTTGGTTCCTGCAAAGTTGATCTACCTAACTAACTATTGTAGAGAAACAGCGATTTGGAGAGCTTGTACAGAATCCATAGGTAAGTATTGTCAGCGTCGTTCTTTACACCCAAAAAGTTCGCAACACGTCTTTATATATAAAGCATTATTAGTAATTAGTATAAACAAATAATCCCATTAACCTCTCGTGGTAAGCTAAATTATGATTGTGTTACGAGTGGGTTTCGAATCCGCGTTCCTCGGATCACTATTCAGCCAGTCCGACCCCTTCACCGTTCGGCTATCGTGGTTTCTGTTTTTACACCATTGGGCAACTTTTTGACCACTTTGGGTGTCTTGAACAATTTGACGCTGACAAACGGCAGCATATTGTACCTACTTTATGCAGTTATAATGTAAGGTAGTAGATCAAATAGCGTAAATTAATAATTCAGTAACACAACTTTTAAATCAAAAACTAACATTTTAGGTGTGCCGACGAAGCGAAATTACCACTACGCTACTGTTATCGTATGTATTCTGTGCAACTACTTACTAATTATGATTTAATATGCTGTTTACAATGTTCAGTATTTACTCTAAAATTGCTTAAAGCTTTTGTAAGTGCTAATCCTCGCAATAAAACAGACGCTCGAACTACAGCCGTGTTTATGTTTCAAGTTTAATCCGCACTCTACAGGGTGCGTCACGGATTTTTGTTTGTTTGGAAATTTGCGGGGAACTTAGCGGATTATTAACTTATAAATAACGGAATATTGGATTTTAGTTACGTATTAGATCCTTCTTCTTCTTTTCGTGTCGACAACAAACCTACACAGTATCAGCCCAAAACTCCGCCACAAGAATGGCGTTGTCAGTAGCACTCATCAAATCCTCCTGAGTGCAGTTGCTTGGGCACTCAGAGCACGACATCAGATGCTTCATAGATTGGGGAACAAAACTGCACCTGCACTCCATGTTTAAGCCGTCCAAGAATCCCCACCTGACCAGATTGTCCTTACTACGGCCAACCTGCGTCCGAAGTCTATTTAAAAACTTCCAGGTAAGCCAGGGGAGCTCATGTCCAGGTGGAGGACTCTCAGACATAGGGACAAAAGGGCAGGGGAGATCAGCTCTCTCCCGCCATAACCTGCATCTCTCTTTATCTTTTCTTCATTAGATATTTCTATTTAACTTCATCTTATCAGCTTATTATAGAAATGGCACAATGTGATTCTACCACAAAATGGGATAATGGATTATGGGATATTATTCTAAAGTGTCCTTAGGCGATGTTTTTTTGTCAGAGATTTTTATATGAATCACAGAAACAAAAAATTAATTTAGCGATGTCTTTCTTGAAATAGAATGCTTAATTTAATGAAAACGGCGAGAAATGTAAAAGAAACATTCATTTATCAGTGTTTATTTAATAATACTTATTAGGTTACAATTTCATGTTCATTGCTTAGTAAAAGGATAGGTTCTTCCTTCTAGCTAATTTAATATAAATAAGCCAAGTTTAGTTCGTTTACGGATCTCCTCATTTCTGATTCGATCTCGTAAAGAAACACCGAGCATAGCCCTCTCCATAGCACGCTGTGCAACTTTGAGCTTCTATACTATAAGGCCTATAGTGAGAGGCCACGTTTCCGAGCCATAAGTACGGAAAACGGAAAACCCAGCGTGGGACGTCAACCCACAAGGTGGACCGACGACCTGATAAAGGTAACAGGAAGGCGCTGGATGCAGGCCGCTACCAACCGTGCGATGTGGAACTCATTGGGGGAGGCCTATGTTCAGCAGTGGACGTCCTGTGGCTGAAATGATGATGATGATGATGATAAAGCCAAGTTTGTTTGTACCTAGTATTATGTAATGGGAACAGAATACTTGGTATTAGGACGGTCATACCCATTTTGGCGATTCTAGTTGTTATACCTATGTCATAAGCTAATAGTTATTACAGCTCGCTTTTATTTCAACAGCGCGCATTCATTTACTTACAAGTAAATTTTGTTCAAGTAGGAATTCTTGGATGACTCAAACTTGGAGTGCAAGTGTGGTTTTGTTCCCCAGTCTACCAAGCACATCGTCATGCCCTGCGTGCCCAAACAACTGCACGCAGGAAGACTTAATGAAGGCTACTGACAACGCCACTCTTGTAGCGGAGTTTTGGGCTGATGACACTGTGTAGGTTTGTTGTCGACAAGACAAGAAGACGATTTACTTACAAACAAATACATGTTAATACCTCACCAAATTTCTGTAAAGCCGTCGAAAGCCTTTGCACTAAGTTAACCAATAAATAATTACAGATAACTTATCCAATGACACGTCAAATATTTGCACAACGATTTTCTCGTAACGATACCCTAAGTTAACAGGAGGGATCAAATTCCATCCGACTTTGATCAAAGACTGATCAACACGGTCCTAGGTAAATACTGAAATTGAATAAAGATCTGTATCTTCTGTCGGTAAATCCTAGATCTATCCTTTCCTTTTTCGACTCCGCAAATCTGTAAACATTCTTCAGAACTGTTTCGTTCGTATTTACTTCGAAAAAGGTTAAGGAAGTTCTTTTCTATAAATGGACGTTTACATTTAATAAAAGTAGTAAGAAATTCCAATGGAATTCAGCAATTGGGCATACCTATTTTGTATAAATCTCTTTTTGTGAAATAAGTATGGTAGGTAGATATTTTTGGCGGAAAATAGACGAAGAACATACGTTTAAAAAAAACAACTGCCTAAAAGTGACTGCCTCAGAAAAGACGCAGTATTTGGGATATTTGTAGCAAAGCATTTCTTTCGCCAAATAAAGTGGTATATTTGGTCGCACGTTAAGATCCTCTGCAACAGTGACTAATAAGTCATGATTCAGTTAAATAAAGACTAAGAATTAGTGAGCAAATGCTCACAAAATATTCAGAATGATACAAGTATGCAAAAGTCTACGTATGACAAAAAGGTCCCCGACTCAGCATTAGTCGTGACAATGTATGCTACGACGCTGATTGTCAGCAGGCACCTTTAGGGCACTTGGATAAATATAATAAAGAAATTGAAGAAACGATAGGCAAACGATGAAGGTGACAGATTGGCTGACTTGAAGGAATATCGCCGTCGCTGGACTACTGTGGTGAACCCACTCGTAACATAATTGTATTAATGACAAAATGTGCTAAAAACACAAATAGTCTCGTTAGCCCCTTGTACTAAGTTAAATGCTTGTATCACGAGAGGGCTCACCACAATAGTCGAGCGGCAGTGGGATTCCTCGGATCACGAATGAGCCAGTACGACCCCTACACCGTTCGGCTATCTAATCGTGGCTTAAATTTTTAATTAAAAATAATCAGCGAAGTTCTCACCTCACACGTGTCAATAGGGTTCTCCCCATTCCTCAGTCGATCAGCCACTTGCTTCGGTATCATCTGGTAGAGCAGTTCGTCGGTCCTCTTCATCTCCTCGTCCAGTTTCCTCATGGACTCCTCTAGCTTCTTGCTCTTCTGCTGTTCCTGGTCGAGGGCCAACTTCAGCTCGACTGACTGCTGGGTGCCGGCCAGCATTAAGTCTCTGGAAAAAGATTTTGAGTTTCGATAACTCTTTTATAATGCGAACAGCTAGGGACTGGAATTCGCTGCCTGTTGCTGTCTTTCCTGAACACTATAATAATACCAAGTGCGATTGCGGTCAAATATCTGCCTTGTCTTACATAAAAAAAGTTTGGGAAATTGTTTGGATTGAATTGGCACTTCTTCTCAGCATTTGCCAAGTGTTGGTCTCGAAGCGCTGGTAGGGCAAAAAGATTATGGGACATGTAAAGGCTCGATAAGAGCAAAACTTAGGTTTTTATTTATTATTATTTTATTATTGATTTTTCTTGAAATATTTAATTAGTAACTAAGCACTTTTTAATAGTTGAAGTAAGAAAAAAATATTTGAAGATTTTAGTTCTTCGCGCTTGCTAGTGACTACGTTTGATGTAAACTCATACTCAGCCCTCAGATACTGATTCGGAATGAGATCACTGAAAAAAATTGGACAAAGATTAATTTGAGTAACATTATCGACGATGTTAATAATACTGACGCGACAACTGAAGACAAAATACGGCCTTCATAATTAATTAATTCAGAAACGTCTTCAATCGAGGATCTATATTCAATTACATTTTAGGAGTCAATCATTCATCTTTGCCCAGTTTATTCAGTGTAGGATATTGCAAATTTAAATCAACAAGATTATCTAGAAATAATATAATTCCATGGAGAGGGAAATTTCAGACGTTTTATGCCGGATGCTATCGTATAGATCCAGCCCTTAACGCAGTCAGTGCATGGAAGCAGCACGGGAGGAGTGACATTGACATATTACGTGACAGAGCATATTATGAATCTGAAGGAAATCTGAAAGTCTCACTGACATAATTTGACATTATAAAAACACCCACCCGTGCCGCACCCATACCTCAGGCATTGATTGAGTTAAGCGCTAGGCCTATTGGATGCGCGGCATGACAAAATTGTATCGATTTTTAGACGACAAAAGTATTGGCTTATCGTGCAAAGTCGATAAAATGACGTATTTATCGAAGCGCGCATCCTAGGCCCAATACCAGCGTGGATTAGCGGGGTGTTGCGTCGAATTTTGTCAGTGTGTACGTGCGCGCCGCATACGTATTGGCGCGCTCACATACAAACCGCGCTCGGTGCGTTTCTATGAAGATAATCTACTCATTTGTATTTACTCTGCCAATACTGTCTTCTAATCTAATACACCATAAAAGAAGTTTAAAAGTTCTTACCTGCTAAAGTCATGCATAGATAAGTCGTTGATGTAAAGGCCGGTGGACACGAGCGCGGACAAGTCCGGCATGACTGGCGTGCCAAGGTACATCATCATCCGCCAGTTGTCCATGTAGATCATCTGACCTGTGAAACGAACCGCTTTGAAAGTTGTCACAATGCTTTATTTAGGACGTGTGCAAAGGGCCTACTATTAGGACGTAGATAAAAAGATCATTTGTAATTCGATATGGTGTAGGTAACCCCTATTCAACGCTGTGCGTTCGATTTGCTGCGTCACATAAGCAAGCATTGGAATGGAATGTAATTTGCATTCTATACTTGGCACAGATATACCGTAACCGAAACTTTCGGATATCCGAAATTAAAATAATCCGTAACCGTAACCGAAACCGGTATAATATTATTCCAATATCCGTAACCGTATCCATAACCGAAACTACATTATTATCCATAACATCCCTAGCTTGTTGCGCCTTAGGCCCAGCCACCTCCAGTATGCGTGTGACGTGCTAATTTTGGGACAACCTGTATAAAACTGACGATAACAAACAGTACCTAATAATTCTTGAAACTAATATCAGTCAGCGTTCACATTACTCTCAAAAATATACTCTTTAAATGAAATATGGGATTCCCAGGTTTTTCTAGAAATAATTTTGAGAAAATAACTGGCAAATGGGACGCCATTTGTATCCATTCTTGGTGAGAAATTCGCGAGTCTCGAGATTTACGAGAAAATAACTATTACTGTGGTTCACTATGTTGGAGTAATGACCATTATTTTTAGCTTAGTGAGTGCTTCTTAACAGATGCGAAGCTGTGCTTGTGTAAGTAATAGTTCAGAATCAGCTTTTTTTATGACTACATGACCAGGGTTGGATAGAATAGAAGGCAATAAGTTGTCCGTTGGAGACCAAGTATGGAAACCATATTTTTTCTGAAATCTTAGATTAAACAAACTTTCTAGTGCAAGAGGGGACCACTTTTCCACTAGAAATAGCCATTTTTTTGTACTTTCGGCCAAATCGGAGTTTATTAACTAATTGTTCCAAGCTTATCACAACTTTTCAGAACGTGTGCGTGAACTTGTATCAAGTGACGTAGGGTATCTTACGGTCCCCTCTCGTACTATTCGTAGAAACAATCTTTCGCACTACGAAAAACTGTTTTTTTTTTTTTTTACTTTCTTGTGACTACTTAAATCATGACCGCCTTATAATTTCTCGTCAAATACATGTTAAGTTCAACTTACCTACCTACTTACTCGGAGATACGCAGCAAAGAATTTACTTTACCCCGAGCACGAATAAATATCTTTCTCGTTATGGCATGAAAATCATATTATTTTTTATGAAAACTAGAAAAGTGCACCCTATCCGCTAAGATCGTTAAAGAAATACGATTTCGAGAGTTATTCGTGCTCGGGTTACTGAATCGGAATTACACTGAGTCATGGGAAGTTCCATAAAGAACCCTTGAGCGATGGTATCTAACTTTTACGTGTGTAGGAAGTCTGATATCTTTTAAGATTGGCAAAATGGCGACCTTTTAAACAGCTGTAAGGTGAGAAAGTTTCTAACCTTTCAAGTTGTCACGAAACTTCAGCCATGAATACATTAAAAGGGATCAATGGGAACGTATTGAAAATATTCAACTAAACTTGAGTGATTTCATTTACAAAAGTTGCGAATTGTGGTCTGTATTGAGACGCAGATCTACCAGAAGTGGGATATGGTAGATAATCTGAAAAAAAAAAGTGCCACATCTAAATAAAAAAAAACACAATTTTGTTTTAATCTCTGGCGGAAACTTGTACAGTTGATCAAGCGCCATTATGTGAAGTATTCCATTTGACTTTGGAAAACTAAATTAAACAAGGTGAATATTATAATACTTTTATTTGCCAAATCGTGTAGCCAAACAAAATACGCGCTTCAACGTGAAGTATTCGTTTTCTCATAGCATATTTGACTTTGGAAAATTAAAATAAAAAGGTGAACACAAAATACTTTTATTTGCCAAAATACGTGCGTAAACAAGTGCTATTTACACTAAGCTAAGATTCAAAATCGTGTGCAATGCCTTTGCTGAAATCCAACTGTGGTTTGACCAACGTTTTTGGCCTTTGTGGGCAACACGTGAATCTCTTTCTGTCTCGTACGTTTAGAAAGAGAGAGCATTGAAATTTAAAATATTGGGCTACCTTTGAGGTGTAAATTAATAACGTCAGGCAACCTTCGGCCGTCATAAGCGTAACGCTCCTTTCTCCCCTGCCCTTCTGCAAAAATTCAGACGAATTTAATATTGTTGTAAAGAAAATCAGTACGGCTTAGTTACAAAAATGGAAATTATTTCCTGTTGATTTTTGTCAAATTGAGTTTACCTGTTATTCATGTGATTGTTTTGTAGTAGATTGTTGTGTATGTAATAAGTAACGTTATTTTGCTTTGCCTGGGCTATTTATAAATTTTTAACTTTAGAGGCGTACCCAAAATATTATTGGCGCCCAACGTGGTGTTCGAAGAAACCATCAAAATGTTGTTATACTTACATACTTATGAAAATGCCCGTTATTGCTTGAGCATCATTGATATCGTGACAAAAAAAATAAAACTAAAATCATTATATCTAGGTATGATTGTCCATCATTAAAAGATTGGCTGGAATAGGTAGTTTTATATGTTGAGCCAATGTTGTACTGATGGGCAAAGTAACCAGACTGACTGTATTTTAAAGAATAATATTTATAAGAGACCCCAAGTTCATATCTTAAGCCTTATGGAAGTGTGGAGTGTTTTATTGGCATCGTCTGTCTGTGCTCAGTAGATAAGGGACCAGTCTAGCACCAATCCTTAGATGGGTTCCTTTGACCTTTAGAGCTGCAAGTTGCTTGGTTTGTAGAAAAGGAAATGGAAGTGGTACTAAATAGTTTTATAAACCTCTAACATTTAGGGGAGACCAAGGAAAGTTGTAACAGCTCGCTGATAGATAATGAGTTTCCAAAAATCGACAAATATCATAACTCTCCTCTCACTCTCCTCTCAACTCACCTCAGTCTCCCCTACGTGCACTGACGCGCAGAGCAAGGAAAGTGATCCCTTATTAACGGAAACCTAAGAAAAAAGTTACTTAACCAATTTTTTTAAATTAGTTGAGTTGATGAATATTAATTATTGGATTTTGACTTACCTATACATATTGAGGTTTATTTTGAGAAATAGTTTAATTGCAATACTTGTATTTTTCATTAAAGTTGCCTTTAAGGTTAATCTACATATTTCATTTAGACACTGTCAGAGAGTTGTGTGATTTTTACCCGACTGCGCCAGAAGGATATTTATCTTAGTACCTAATATTAGCAGAAAGAAACTGTAAGTTCTTATCGAAGTTGTCTAATTCACCCTGTCTGGACTTAAAGTCCTGTATTTGCTGTCTAGGCAAGATACTGGCAATCCTGAGACGACTCAGTTCCTTGACCTTTGGAGCTGCAATCCGCTTAGTGTAGGGTTACCATGTAAAGATATTAAAATTTCCACAAATATTTTGAGACTGATCCGTTTAGATTTTATGATAACTATAAATCGTCTAGACATAGAGCTTAAATCTAGATTGCAATCTTTAAGGGATAAAGAGAAAAATTTGGGGACCTTTGGATGGGATGGGGGTCAACATTTATTGCGACCTGGATTTACATTTTTTATGAATGAAAATATGTAATATCTTACAACATAGAGACAGTCCACGAGTGAGATGAAAACGTTTGGGGATCTCTTATTTAGATAGAGTCTTTCTGAAACGAACTAATTACTTAAGTCCCAACGAAGTACGCCAAAGTTAAACTCTATTAAACATCCTAAGTATGTAGTTGTTAATGGTGTTATTTTAAAACAAAAATATTTAGTGTGTTGTGCTCTTTACTGAGAAAATCAGAACGAAGTCTAAAAATATTTTTTCTTTCTTTCTCTCTAATGCCCGTTTTCACAAGACAATCCCTAATTTTTAAGTGACACATATGAAAACAAAATTCCTGTTATGTGTTAACATAGGGTAGGGGTCACTTAAAAATTAGGAATTGATGGTGAAAACAGGCATTAATTAACTAAAGTTAACCCGAAATGATTTTCAGAACAGATTTGTGTACCTATTAAAACTTAAGTTATTCTACCCAACTAGAAATATTTCGAAATGAAATAACAACAAATATTCCATCTTTTGTTACTGCAAAAAAGCCATGCAAATTCCTTTTATACGACCCATGTGAGTGGGTGGATAACACAAGGAATGGCGGAATAAATTCAATTATGCCTTTTGACTGACATGGGTTCCCGACTGCCTACATTTTTGTAGTTCCACAAAGATAACCATTTCAGGAAATGTGTTTCTGGCTTATTCTGACACCCGTTGTGATAGGAAATGTAATTAACCAAAGTAAAGGAGATGTAAGAATAAAGGAGTTTTTCTTTTATTTACAGATTAGGTTAGGTATCACAAAAGTATGGGAAGATAAGTTCTTTGTAAGATCAAACAGTGTCAGTGTCAGTGATCTAGTTCTGTGTTCTTTCCTAAAAACATTAAATATTTGTGCAGTATTTACGAGTTAAAATATCGTTAATGTATAGGTATGTAGGCGCGTCGCCTATAAATTCAGAGATTGTAGTATGTAAGTAAATAATTATTGTGTTCAAAGGTTCATTAATGTTATGATTCGATTTTTTTCCATGATATAAATCACTTAATATAATTAATTAATAAAAAAAAAAAAAAATAAAATAAAAAAATTAAGATCTTATTGTCTTTAGTCTCAATCTAAGATCAAGTAAGTACAGAAGGTGCACACTGAAAATAAGAGCAGTTTTATACCTTTCAGCCGCAGGTTCTTCTCAGTAGTGCCGTCGGACTCGTCCGATAAACGCAGCAGCTCATTGCGCTTGTCAGTCGCTTTCTCGTGGATAACAGCTTCTACTGTCACCAGCTCGAAGATGTTGTTAGTGCGGTTCAATATCTGTACAAAATATATTTTTTAATTTATACTTTTTTTATGTAAAACATTAGCCGTATTTTTACCCGACTGGGCCAGGAGGAGGGTTATTTATTACTAGCTTTCCGCCCGCGGCTTCGCCCGCGTGGAATTTTGTCTGTCACAGAAAAACTTTATCGCCCGCGTCCCTGTTTCAAAAATCGGGATGAAAACTATCCTATGTCCTTTCCCGGGACTCAAACTATCTCTACGCCAAATTTCATCAAAATCGGTTCAGTGGTTTAGGCGTGAAAGAGAGACAGACAGACAGACAGAGTTACTTTCGCATTTATAATATTAATATAGATTCTAAATTACTGCCCGCATTCAGGAGCTTCCCGTGATTTTTTTCCAGAGAAAAGCCGGGAAATTCCGTGTGAAGCCGGGGCGGGCCGCTAGTTACTATTAAAAGTTATACGCGCTTTGAAAACTTTAGGAATACCCGAGGTTTTATAGCCAAAAGGGAGCTTAGAAAATGACAACCGAAATATCTTTAAAGCACTCGAATAATAAACTCGTGGCGTAAAATACCTAATAATGGGATTGTTAGGATAATTTAATCTGAACTGAGCTGAGAAGTTTCGATGTTTAATTTATTTTACAAACTGTAAACTTTTTCTGCAGATAATCTGTGAACTACGACGTTCTTTTGTCGATTTTAAATTACATAAGCCGATTGTCACGTGTTTTCAATTGTGTCAGATTAGCTGGCGGACTTTGCAGTCCGCTGGTGTGTGGATGAAAGTGGCGTGGCACGTGGCTTAGTTATTCTGATAGAATCATAGAATATTAGAGCGTAAAGTGGACAGAGGGGCCAGTCGATTGATCTGGAGTTCATTATTACTTACCTAATAGTAATTTTAATTAGGTTTTATACTTTACCCGTTAATATACCTAAACGATGACACAATGACCACACGAACATCCCGGACACTGTCCCGCAAAAAACTGACCCGTTCGGATTTGAAATTCGAATTTCAGTCCAGTTTTGTGAGATCCAGTAATGTAGGATTGCAGTGGGAAAGGGCCCGCCTAACATGATTAAGGGTGGGTTGCACCACCTAATTTTGACAGTGACGATAACCGGTGATTTTTGTATGGAGTTTGACAGATTTTTGACGTTTGTCACAGTTAAAGTAAGATAGTGCAACCCAGCCTAAGAGATAATTCTAGGGTCAGACGGTTTATCATTGAACACCACTAACATTCCCCCGGGTGGAATTCGACCCCGAAAACGCGGCTGGCGTTGTAGTGCTGAAGAGCTGAAGTCTACTAATAACTAATTTGTTACTACTACACTCATGGCCACTAGGTGGACCGACGATCTGGTGAAGGTCGCGGGAGGTACCTGGATGCAAGCGGCGCAGGACCAGTCTTTGTGGAAATCCTTGGGGGAGGCCTTTGTCCAGCAGTGGACGTCTTTCGGCTGAAACGAACGAACGAATGAACACTCAGGGCCACATGGCCGTTTATTTTTCAGATTTTTATCGTCTCTTGGAAAGGAATATTGTGTTTGAGGAGGTAAAAGGGTAAAACATTTAGATTGGACATACTCACAGTCTGAAACTTGAAAGCTATGAGCGGTCTGACGAGGTCGAACCAGTTGGTGATCTTCTTGCCCACCAGGTCCGGGAGTATCACCATGAGCGAGTTGCCGATGGAACGTACCACCATGTCCGACCTGAAAGTGGGCACTTGCTAGTTATTTTAAACCTTAAGACCTTGAAAAAATTATGAGATATTGAACGAATCAGCTAACAATATTTATACTTCGGACTACTAGGTAAAGATAAAGAACCTTTTGTTTCAATAGACGAAAATTCTACTTAAAATTGTTATCTTTAAGCCTACCATCTGAGTTTAAACTAAACCTAGTGGGTAGGACGGTAGGACCTATCATAAAAATTTGTCGATGTTACAGATGATATTCTACATATAGCTAGACTGAAACTGCAGTCAAAAGCTGGTAGGTAGGGAAGGGCCAAAAACTTATGGAGACATGTTTGTAAAGAGCCTCTTTAAATATTTTTTTAATTAAGATTCATACGTGCATAAAATTGAATGAACCTTTCATTTCATTACTTACCTACTCGTATACAGGGTGGAATTTTGAATTTTGTTCAAAAATCTTTAAATGAAGTTCTCTTTCTTTTCAAAAATAAAGGAATGTTTTCTTTCAATAAAACTTTCTATACAGTACTAGCGGCCGCCCGCGACTTCGTACGCGTGGATCTCGTTTTACCCCCCCTTCATCTATCTTACGCGGTTCAGATTTTTTCATACAATTTTTTTCCCGCTCACTCCCGTTCCCGTGAGAATTTTGAAATATCCTGTTGTAACTAAGCTTTAAGTTTACTAAGGTACCTGCATGCCAAATTTCAAGCGTCTATCTTACGCGGTTTAGATTTTTTCATACAAATGTTTTTTCCCACTAACTCCCGTTCCCGTGAGAATTTTGCAAAATCCTGTTGTAACTAAGCTTTAAGTTTACTAAGGTACCTGCATGCCAAATTTCAAGCGTCTAACTTAAGCGGTTTGGATTTTTCATACAAAAGGATTTTCCCGCTAATTCCCGTTCCCGTAGGAATTCCTAAGTATCCTATAACCTGCCCAGGAGTATGAAAAATAATTGTACCAAGTTTCGTTAAAATCCGTACAGTAGTTTTTGTTTCTATAAGGAACATACAGACAGACAGACAGACAGACAGACAGACAGACAGACAGACAGACAGACAGACAGACAAAAATTTTACTGATTGCATTTTTGGCATCAGTATCGATCACTAATCACCCCCTGATAGTTATTTTGAAAATATATTTCATGTACAGAATTGACCTCTCTACAGATTTATTATAAGTATAGATTAACAGTACTTTCCCTCCAGGTGGCATTACAAAATTCCACCCTGTATTTCAACAACTACTTCTGTATGCGTAAGTCGTTAAAAAAATTGATTTGAGTCAACAAGCTACCTGATGGACTGATTTTATAATGATAGCTCGGCCCTCGACTTAATTCACTGGTCAAATAAATTTGTTGTGTTGATCAACTCATTAGAGCTTAATTTTATTGGTATTGGATTGGAACATATTTACATTAAGTACCTATCAAGTTGAAATTCAACTTTCAATCTTATTAATTTTATAGTCGTCATAAAAAATAAATCTTGTCGAATTTTAGGATTCAAAGTTCAAACTCAGTGCCTACCCGAGGCAGTTCTTCTTTCTTAGGTACTTTGAAATTATTTTCTCTGATCGTTTGTTCTCCGTGCACAACTAAACTATGGTACCTATTCTTTGAAAATAAATACTTTGACTTTGACTTTGCAATGTTTGTGGGGAGCCCGCTCGCCCACATTTTAGATCGAGTAAGGCCCGTATAATGACAATTCGAATTAATCTCAATAATACATTCAAGCTTGTGATTGGAGGAATTTCAATATTCGGATCAATCAAGGTTTCGAGTACTCTCCAGTTTGAATTGAGTTTTGAACGTTTCAGAATACTGCAAAGGCACAAATCGAATAAAAGATACTCACCCGATCACACACAAGGGGAATGTACCATAATGTAACTACCTTGATAGGCAGGATTGGTCACCTGAAAGTATGGTCCTTCCAGAATCTATGCGAGAATATTCTATCCGAGAGTAAAGTCGTGGCTGTCAAAGGTCAGCTGGAAAGTAGCCAGTAGTAAGAAGCACTCTAGTTAGTAAGAAGTGCTTAGTAAGAGGTACTCACCCAAACACAATGCAAAAGGGAAATATCTCGAACAGCACCGAAGCACTGATGGGTAGATGCTTCTCCTCCCTTGTCATGGCCAATGAAGCGAGGGTAAAGGCTCGATTGTCAAACGTCAGCTGGAAGGTCACGTGGACTGTGTCGAAGAGAAGTTCTTCACGAAGAAGCTCTATCCTCATCTCCTTGTGGTAGAAGTGACGCGCCACCTATGAAACATATTGCAAAACTTAATAGGGAATTAGCGATTAACGCCCGTATTCACAAACATTACTATGAAGTCTCAAAGTGCGCGTGGACGCACAGGATGACACACAAACCAATCACAGAGCTCTATTCAACGCTGTGCGTTCGATTTGCTGCTTCACTTAAGCAATCATCGTTTGCGAATACGGGCGTCAGGGACTTCGTTCGAAAATAATTTCGTTCACAATTGGATTTAGTTTCTCGTATTGACTCAGCTGATTTATTGCCTAAATATGCCCAGAATCAGACCAATTAAGTACCTACTACGAGATTATATCTTAAATAACAGATAAGATCTAAGCCGTAAGGTATAATTTATATTTTGCCACTTTAATAACATGCCTCGTACCTGTGTTATTTTCTAATAATATCTATACTAATATTATAAAGCTGAAGAGTTTGTTTGTTTGTTTGTTTGTTTGTTTGTTTGTTTGTTTGTTTGTTTGTTTGTTTGGTTGAACGCGCTAATCTCAGGAACTACTGGACCGATCCAAGAACTTTCGCATCATAATTTCTCCATTTGGTTGCATATCAGCATTCTAAAAATTATTACAGAATGAAACAGTTTTTATCCTTAATTTTACTTGGTATTTATTTATTATTAGCCATACACAACAAGTAACAATCACAAATAATATTATAATATAAAGAAAGTATGCTAAATGAGTAACGCGAAACAATAAGCAGTTACTTTAACGCGTTTTTCCAGTCTTCAGGGTGTGGTTTTGTAAAACAACGCCCATCTCAGGGGTGGTAAAAAAAAATTCACGGAAAAATCCATGAAACCAGGAAAATGGTAGCTATTATTACGCGGACGAGCTATCGGTCAGTCCCCCCGCTCTCTCGGGGTGGTGGCCGCATGTGCTCGATGGTGTAACGGGGTACGCGGGGGTGGTGCGGGCGATAGGAAGCGCCGTCTCGAAAGTTTAAGGAGACTTTTGAATGAGGTTCTTTACTAATAAAGTAATAAGTTAAAATTTTATTTATATTTTTCTTGTAATAACTTTCATAAGTGTACCACCACTCCAGAGATGGGCGTTGTTTTACAAAACCACACCATGTATACATGGATTGAACGCAGCCGTAGGAAACTGCTCGTGTATATTTTGTCATTTGTTTTTTCTATGGTAATACTCTTCGTAAATCTGCGACTACAAAGTATACACGAATTTTGCATACTGAATACGGTCGTGTCTAATTTGTATTGTGGATGCTCGCGTCTCCGTTTCAAACTATACTACACGACTTACGCTTGACAAGAGTGTTAAAAAGTTAGTTTGATACTTATTTAGTAAAATTCAGTAAAATATGGAATTACATTTAAGAGTATTTTTATTTGTTATTACTTAAATATATTTTATCGAATTAATATAAAACTAGATTTTAAACAGATCTTAAACCTTGCGGATGAGTGGTTTTTAAAAATAAACTGATTAGGTAGGATTAAATAAATAAATTGATAATTTTTTTATTTAGAGTAGTAGGTACGCGGTATTTGCGTAACTGCTCATACAGTTTGGAAGAGTTTAGTAAAAAAAAGTTATTTCCAAACTATAGGTACTCGATTAGTTTCACACCCTTGCATTCTGACCATGTATAGAAAGAAAAGACGCTACGTTAACTACCTAAGTATTCGAATTGGCTTTAGGAAAAATACTCTTTTACGAAACTGTTTAACGCCTTTGATTAAATTGTTCATCAGAAATCAATTAGTTATGATTTTTATTGTGTAAGAATTTTTGCAGCAATACCAACAAAAAATCAAATCTTCTTTATTCCTGATTATAATACCTAACCATCCTTTACGTATTATAAATTCACTTTTTGCTTAGCAAAATTAGTGAAAATACGTGTTTTTACTCTGTGTTGAGCCTCTTTTGTCTCTACTCTGTAAAGCAGTTTGTGTGTGATCGTGTTAGTTCGTTGCGCCACCGCTAGCTCGGATATCAAATCGTAGTTTTTCGTCCGCGCTGCACCCCCTTAAGTGGTTTAGATTTTTCATACAAAAGGATTTTCCCGCTAATTCCCGTGCCCGTAGAAATTTCGGGTATTCCTTTCTTAATGCAACTCTATGGTACCTAATAGCAATTGGCTAATAACGGATTAAAAGCAGTTATTAGCCATTAATAGCCAATAATAGCCGATTTCAGATGGTAACCCTGCTATTAATGTTATACTAATGATTAAACATATCCCTTCATAGTTTACAAATTTAGCACTTGAAAGAAGAACGGTCACGCCCCATACAAAAAAAACCCAGACCCGACAGAAACGAGACATACCTCAGTTTTTTTGTCATGTCTTAATTAGTTAAATTATATATTTTTTATATTCGAAATCTATGTATAACACCAAAATATTACCCTTTGTTTTTGTTCAGGCGTTATACAAAAACTAATACAAAATGCCTATTTATCACCAAAATTGGTAAATGTATGTACCTAAATGTCTATTACAGCTGCTATGGAATGTATCTAGGTGACCTGGAGATACAGCCGGATTATACAGGGTGGTTATACATATGGAACGATAAGTGATCTCACTCGATTATTTCTAAACTATACAAGATATCGAAAAACTAGTTACTGATTCTGAAAGTGCTTCACATGCTCTTTCAAATGGTACCAATAACAGGTTACAGATTATGGAAGCTGGTAACATTGAATTTTTGGATTTTGTAACTTTTCGTTTTCACCCTGTATAATCCGGCTGTATCTCCAGGTCACCTAGATACACTCCATAGCAGCTGTAATAGACATTTAGGTACATATATTTACCAATTTTAGTGATAAATAGGCATTTTGTATTAGTTTTTGTATAACGCCTGAACAAAAACAAAGGGTAATATTCTGGTGTTATACATAGATTTCGAATATAAAAAATATATAATTTAACTAATTAAAACATGACAAAAAAACTGAGGTATGTCTCGTTCCTGTCGGGCCTGGGTCACAGATGACCGATCTTCTTTGGAAGGGACGTAGCTTAAGCTAATGGCTAATAACTGCTTTTAATCCGTTATTAGCCAATTGCTATTAATCGGATTATTAGCACTTACCCATCTCTAGTTACGGGTTGCCCGACAGGCCCGCCGAGTTGACGAGACCTGCCGCGCAGGTGAGAAGTTAGCCACCCGCGTGAACAGACCACGCGGACGTTGCCCAGGGTGCACCACGAGGAGGTCCCTCACCATCGCACCCCTCAATTCAGAAACCAGGCCTGACATAATGTTGTTTTATGCCTGTAAAATTACAGTAATATGGGCTCCGGGTTCGATTCTAAATATGTATAAGACAAAACGTTTTATTAATTAATAAAATAAGGCTTCTCACCTTCCTTCTAATAAGGAATTTTCCAGCACGTTCTTGCGGGCTTACAGATACAAAACAAATCTTAATTAATTAAAAAGCAATTTACCAAACCGACTTTGCTAAAATAAATTGCGCAATGAACTTTTATACAGAAATGTCACTTTCTACAAAAGTAGCTTGTAATTATGTAGGTACCGAACTTTTCGGCTACTTTGGGTGTCACGAACTATTTGACGCTGACTGTACCTACTTATCATTATACGTTTTTGTGTGTACGGATAATTTTATCGACGAAAATTCTTACTTTAAATCTGGAGCTTGAACCATTTAACACCAAATTAGTGACGGGTGTCCACTGGTAAACATAGGCCTCCCCCAATGATTTCCACAATGGCCGGTTGGTGTCGGCCTGCATCCAGCGAGAGAAGAAATGATTAGTTTAAAACTCAATTTCAAGCAAAGATTAAGTCTTTGGATTTCAGTTCTTAGACCGATAACAAGAAAACATCTAGGACAAAGATTTACTTAAATTTTTAATTTTAAGTATTATCTACTATTAAAAGACTAGACTTCAAGGTTGCTACACCGTCCAAAGATAATAATATTAGATTTGAGTTTTTGTTGTTGTTTAAAAATAAATGATTACAGTAATATTAATTTTATATTCCTCTGAGCCTTCTAAACGCGCACTATCTTGTCTTATCTAACGAAAAAGTAAATTAATTAACCAGAGTATTTTTTGGTGATAAATGGGGCGTCTTAGTGGAGGAGGAAAAACTGGCATGACACGCGGGAGGATAAAAATATTAGGTCGGAAAATAGAGGATCCTCTTATAAATCGTCTTGAAAATCTAGATGGAGGAAATCTTGCGAATATTTTAGATATAGGCATCAAAAGTCTGGTAGCGAAGGAATTAGAATTCAAAAACTGTGTCTACTTCACTTACGGTGGATTCAATCAAACAAGAGTAAATTAATCTCACAATAAATCGTCAGTTTTGACATATTTCCCATACTGAAACTGTGTGCCAGTTATATTAGGAATTATTCTCGGAAAAAAGTTTGGTTGAATCGGGCGTTGGTAGGAGTACTTAGATATTTTGGGCAAAATGAAATTTAAAAAATGAACAAAGTTTGTTAATGGTACACAGTCAGCATTAAATAGTTAGTGACACCCAAAGTGGCCAAAAAGTTGACAGCACAACCTTATTCCAATTGCAACGAAGACGTGTTGCGAACTTTTTGGCAACTTTGGGTGCCACGAACTATTTGACGTTGACTGTACACCTACCTAGCATAAGCCAAGGGCTAGAGTTTAGGCAAAAATGTATGATACATGACTAATTCTTGATTCCAACTGTTAGGTCATATTATATTTTATCTGACCGTTTTTTGGTACGCTACTAAATTTAATGGGTACCAAAAAACGGTCGTATTTTTTTTCTAAATATCAATTTTTTTTTGCATTTTACGGAGATTGAATTCATGACCTCTAGAGTATGAACTTCTTGTACCTCTATTCCAGAATAAAATGTGCGTGTCCGATTTTTGTACCTCTTAAAGTATTTCTTCGTAAATTGGATTCAAGAAGTAGAAAGTTTGTAGGAAAACAGTTAAAAAAACTGTAATTGAGTTAAAACTCTCCTAAAGTTGCCCATGTCCACAGTCTGCGATTGCTTGTACAAAGAAACCAATAAATATATTTTCCGTTTATTTTTTCCATTTTCCCGGATCCAATTCCGCCTTCAGGTTTCCCATTACAAGTTTCCAAACGTAAACTGAACTTCTGTTCTGCTGTAAACTTTTACGATGATGTTCAGATAAATACGAATTAAATACAGTCGGCTTTATGAAATTTTAATGCAAAAGAGCAAAATAAACTCGGGGTTTGGTCCAAGGATTAAGCGGTGGAGGTTGGAATTTACTGGTTTCGTTCCGATGGCGAATGTGTACGAGTACTTACTTAAATTCTGTATTACACAACACAATCAATAGTTTTTTTTTAAGAAATTCTAGCCTAGTGATAAAAATAATTAAAGCCCTAAAAATTTACGTGTGTATTTGGTAGCCTTTTGGGTGAAATTGACTTAAAGGTTCAATGGGAGAGAATGTCATCAAAAATAGTTCGATGTGGTTATTTTAAACAAAGACAAATAGGTACGACAAAAAGCCACGTTTCTCGAATGAGAAGCCTCTTAATTTTTTTTTATAGCAGTAGTAGAGTTCACATTCTGTGAAAATAGTCTTTAAGGACTTAAGTTCTTGAGGCAGAGAACCGACAGACAGCGGAGTCATTAATAGGGTTCCTTTGGATACCTTATGGATTTGATACCTTTTGGATTATGGAATCCTTAAATTAAACAAAGTAAATCGCTGCCCGCTCCTCCTATGACTCGCCCCACCCTAATGAGCAAGGTGAAAACGCCTCGTCGTACTTTTACGACGCTATAAAAAGATATTATAATGTGTCTACGCTCCGTCCCCTTAAAATATGCGATTGTACTACTTTTTGTTAAAGGTGCGAACTTCGGGTGCCCCAATCTTGATGCAAATTAGTTTTTGTGGCTGATTATACCACTTGCGTTGAGTGTTTTAAGCATTTTTAGGATTAGCATCCGGATTGGTGCTAAGAGATTAACGCTATGAGGTCTCACAGTGGACGCACAGGGTGACAGACGAACCAATCACAGAGCTCTCGCTGTGCGTTCGATTTGCTGCTTTCGTTTGTGAATACGGGCGTAAGTTCCAGGTTTCGGGACGTCAAAGTTCATGTGACATCTGAATAAATCGTACTAATACATATAAGTGAAAATATGTATAGTGAGGACGGATGGGTGTATGTTTGTTACTCTTTCACGCAAAAATGCTGAACAGATTTCTTTCAATAAAATGTGGAAGGCCTACCTACATTCAGCAGCACTGTTGCTGAAATGTTGACGTATATGGTGATCTCAGATCATAGAAGGGATTCTATGATCTGAGATGGTGATGAACTAGAAGTAAGTGAACTCAAATACACGTCAAGTTTCATAGTTGTGGGATATTGCAAACTTATCTAATGAACCTGACTGGACACAGAGCTAGTGAACTAAGCGACAGTCAAATTATTATAAAGTACAGTCAGCGTCAAATAGTTCGTGACATTCAAAGTAGCCAAAAAGTTCGCAAACACGTCTTTGTTGCAATGAGGGCTATCGTTTTAGCGCTCACCAGTTAGCGCCACTGTAGAGTAAGGTCCTGCTGTCAATCGCCAGGGGTGCCAACTGTTAAGTATAAAAACGATAGCCCTCATTGGAATAAGGCTGTGTTGTCAACTTTTCGACCACTTAGGGTGTGACAAACTATTTGAAGCTGTAAGTAGGTACTTAAATTAAACGCTAAGTGTCTTCAACCAACACTGACCTCTAAACCTTCAGCACAGAGAGTCATTTTGGCTCAATATCGTGTACCGTGAAACCGCTCCTTTTATTAATATTCGCCGTAATTTCGCTGAAATACGCCATTCCTTAACCCGTTACTGCTCACGAGCTCGCCAAATGATTTTCGTATATGATAAAAGCGAGTCGTATCGAGGGTTAACTTTGTATTAGACGCTGCCGTTTCTGGTTAAAAGTGCCTTCAGATTTAGGGCTGCCACTTTTTTATAACGCAAAAGTGACTTTTTTAATAGTATAAAAGGTGTAAGAGAACTAAAGCCCGTATTTACTCCGTATTTGCCCGTAATAAAGCCTGTTTTACATTTAGAACAATCTCAGAATATATGCGTGAGATTAATGCTGGATTTCTATATTCAATCCTAATCCAAATTGGACGGATTTGGAATGTCAACTGTCAAATTTTAAAATGTTTTTGGCCAAAATATCTGCGGTTTTTGATGTTTTTACATTTTTATATTGTTTATAAGACTATTTAAACAATATTAAAGTGTAAATGCATCGAACATTTTGGAAATATAATCTAAAACTGAATTCAATTTGACAGTTGTAATCCGGATTTGGACAAGGATTGAATATAGGTAACGGGCGTTAATCTACTTTTGAGTGTAATTTTGTACGAGTGAGCACAGAGCATGCATCAAAGAGATATGAAATATTAATTTTGAACTCATGTTTCCGTTTCCTACCGTGGTTATACATAGAGATTAAATTAGGTGCGTTAGAACAATCCTAGGACATCTATGTATGAAGCAAATTCTCATAGGTTTCAGGTTCCCTTACCTTACTATCCGTTTATTCCAGTAGCTCTACCATGAGTTTACGTCACACGGACTTGCTATGGAGTGCGTAAAAATGTATGACACCTGTCAATCACACTGATTATGTGAAAAAAAATGTGACTGGCTCAAGAAATTATAACGACAGTAATTCGTCCAGAAAAATAGCATTTATTAAATCCGTCTCGTGCCAACCCTGCGTGGGTCATCAAAAGGGACACCGACTGTAACAGAGTGCAATTTATGTGCCTCTAGTGTCATTTTATTACGCCACCCGTAATATGTCGGCACGCCCTGTTCTGCTCAAAATTGTCGGGTCTGGTCTGCTCGTGATGTCTGCTATATCGAGACCTTAAGTTCCTTTATTTATTTAGAAAGAAAAAGTATTTATTTGGTACCAGGAATAAAAACAATACTGAGTTTATTGCGTTGCTTCTTCTCAGCACTGGCCCATTTATGGTCCCGTAGCAGTGGAAGGGTTAATACTGAGACGTGTAAAAGTGCTTTTTAAGCCTACTTGCAAAAATGAAATGAGTTTTATTACAAACCAACATAAGATTAAAACAAAATTATTGTACCAAATTAATTCGTATTTTTTATGTACGAGTATAGTCGGAAATCTGTTATTTATTTGTATTTAGTTGGAAAAGTATTATTAGTTGACTTAGGTACTGATACATAATTATTTTGAGATTGAATTGAAAGAAAGGAAGTCAATTATTCATTAACAAACTTGTCGATAGGTAAACTTGGGACGCAGATAGAAAACATCCCGACCAAAAGTCATCAGTGCTCTTATCCGAGTTACTTCGTAACAGATCGGTGCTGTGTCCAAATTGTGGTGGATGGGCAGGATGTTGATAATGAGAAAAGTTGTTGTTTTGCACAGACATAAATTAATAGTTAGGTAGTTTGTTCAAAGACAATCAACATCTCATGTTGGTTTTTAGGGTTTTTGCATTAAAATTGCTAGATTTGGAATGCATTTTTTTTAATTTAGCACGAAATCTACATGCATGCGCGTATATGAATGTCTGGTCAGATGTTGGGCTACTGATTTGAAGATGATAGTTGAAAGTACTAGTTCAAGTCATGATGAGCTATGATACTAATCCCTAGGCCTTCACTGGTTGAGTCTTTATTGACAGTCAAGCTGTAGGTCCTCACTACACAGGAGTTACAGCGGTGGGAATGAGAGGTGGGAATAGTCCCGTACTTTCAGGACAATCCTAACAAGATCGTGATGCGTGGTCACATAAAGTATAACACAATTACTACACAATCCGAACTGGAATTGCTAAACAAAGCCTTCGGTCCGACTCTCACACCGCAGCGTAACGGATTGCTAAGGAATATTTAACGGTGCAAGATTGGATTGTACTTGGGAATGGATTGAGGCCGAAATTGGGTATGTCCTTGCTGTTATGTACCATTTAGAGCAGGACTGGACATGTTTAGAAGCTCTCTATTGAGATGAATCTTCAGGAATGGGTGCTGGTTTCTTTCAGGGAAGTTTTTTAGTACAGAGTATAGACCGTTACTCTATTTTGGTAAACTGTTAGTGCGGGCTTAAAAGAAGAAGCAAGAAGCAAAACTTTTGATGACAGACAGTAAAAATGTACTTAATTATTTTAACTGATTCTGTGGTCTCGCGGTACAATCTTGGTGAATCTTGATTCTAGAGCCTAGAGAAATATTAGTTTTCTCTGGGTAGTTAGCTCAAGGACTCGATGTCCCATGTGACCGTCATATTTTTATTTAATGAAAGGAAAATTAATTTTATTTGGCACAAAACCTAGATTAAGCAGTTTGAATTTCATTTGAACAACAAAAAATAACAAATGAATTGCGATAAAAACTTAAGACAAAGATAAGACAAGACGAGACAAAGATAAGACAAGGGGCTACAAGGGTGACTCATTAATTATTTACGCGTCGGTGTGACAGCGTCCTAATCTTCAGGGTACTCGATCAAGATTTAGCGGGACGTTCAAATGGCTCGAATCAAGCAGTTAGGTGATTGTAGTGTCGGCACTAAATTATCAGCTTGCTATGCTAACGACCTGGCTATACTATGTTGGATGCAACAACAAGCATGTAGGGTCATATCACCTTTTTGTGTCCACGTCCAAACGATTACTATTTAAAATCAGTGGAAAATAAGGGTTAGTAGTAGTTTATGTGCATGTAGTATTTAGTAATATGCGATTACTAGTTCTCAAAGGGGTCGATTCGCACCCGTTTTTAATACTTTTGATAAATCCGGGCGAAACGCCTACTAAAAAAAATATTATTGAAAGGAGACGGTTCGCACATTCGTGCGAATGAAAATCGTGCGAAACTACTACTAACCCGAAAATAAACATTACGACATACCTACTAACGAAAACTGAAAACCTATGTAAGAGTTCCTGAGTCGGAATACTTGACGCAAAGATTCGTGGCAGGCGGGTCCATAACTAGTGCGAAATAAAACGTGATATGCACTGTTTTATTATTACACCGCCTGCTACGAGTCTGCGTATGCGCCGAGTCAGTCAGAATAGCTGTTATCTATTCAGTAGCAGCTGATTCTTCATACTGTTTAGAAGCCGACTAAACTATCGGCCGATAAGAACTCTGTAGTCTGCGAGGACTTTTAGTATTTTCTTAGTACTTACGTTTTTAAAGAGTGATCCGCAGTTTAGACGCGAATATTTAGGTGGACGGTAACTGGCAACGTGACCCTACTTAATTTTCAGGGAACTGTAAGTCTTATGTGGAAAACCGTAAAATATGGACCGGTTCCTCCAACTATTCAGATTGATTGATTTATATGGACAAAAGGCAAGATTAACAATGTTGCTTCTTGTGTAGTTGAAACGTTAGTTAACTTTTGCTCACGGCTTTGCCCGCGAGAATTTATTTCTGCCGTAGAAAGACATATAATATAGCGCGCCTGGTTCCCGTTTCAAAAACCGGAATAAAAACTAACCTATGTATTTCACTGGGTCCCATACGATATTTTTACCTATTTACCCATTTATATGGATTCAGCGGTATAAGCGTGAAAAGGTAACAAGATTACTTTCTCATGTAATAATATTATTTGTTACTACAAGAACGTAATGAACAGTGAATAAATTTTTCACCTTACTCCCATAGTGATGATAGCGAAACGAAGAGGGAAGAGCTTACAAGCTTGGATCTACGTGAGATTTTATAACTTTTTCTTACTGAATCGTCTTTGCAACATTTTACATAAAAACGTTCAATGATTAGTGTGTACCTTCAATTTCATAGTGTGACTTGACCAATTTCAGTTTCAGTTAATTTATAATGGTACTAACAATTAAACTCTTTAGCCGTATAACGGGCAACTTTTTATGACATCTCATTACGAAAGTGGAATTGCGCCGAAACCAGCCGTATGTTATGTAAACAAAGGATATTCAGGCCTGGCAATTTGCTGCGGTCATTCACAGGGTCCGATTCTGAAACGCTCACTATCTATACTAATCTTTACTAATATTATAAATGCGAAAGTAACTCTGTCTGTCTGTCTGTCCTGCTTTCACGCCTAAACCACTGAACAGATTTTGATGTTCGGCATAGAGATAGTTTGAGTCCCGGGAAAGGACATAGGATAGTTTTTATCCCGGTTTTTGAAACAGGGACGCGCGCGATAAGTTTTTCTGTGACAGACAAAATTCCACGCGGGCAAAGCCGCGGTCGGAAAGCTAGTTTAACATAATGGGTCGAATAGATAACCTCTTTTTTTAAGTAGATCAAAAATGTGCGGCCGAGGTGAAACCTGGCAGATTTTTTTACAAACATTTACGAAAAAAAAATCTTTATCAAAAGTTTTTTTTATTTAAATAAGAATTAACTTACACTTTGGTAATCTAATATGAGGAAAAAGAAAATCTGTAAGTAATTTTCTTCTGTTTTTCTTAGATAAGAGCTGTAGAGCCGTGTAATCTCTTTGGTAATAGCGTTAGATCCTCTTAATCTAAAGGTTTTAGGTCCCATTTAAAAGAGGAAAGAGTCTGGGAGCTTTTTTATTAACCGACTGCGCCAGAAGGAGGGTTATGCTTTTCGAGTGTATGTATGTATGTATGTATATTTCTTTGGCACGGCCTACAGCCTAAACGGCTTGACCGATTTAACCGTGAGAGGCGTCGTTAGATTCGTCTTAATCGTGAGAGTGACACTGGCTATATTAAAATTGGAAAAA